ATTAACTAAATTTTTCGTGTCGCTTTGATAAATAGTTAGTCAGCTGTTCTCCTGCTCCTAATAGGTCTATCTCCTGTCCAATATAAGTATATAGGTCATTTAAAATGATAGCTCCTTTGTGAGTAAGGTCGCATCGGCGCCGTCCGGTCGTCGGGTAACTATGTCACAAAATACCATCGTTATCTCGCTATTGTATTGTAATTCGTAATTGTGTTACCACGATCGACAACTCATACTGTGAATGTGCAAACTACAGTGTTGTAGATAATAATCTATGATTGATTCACGAACTTAGCTTTTTTTATACAATTGGGAATGGTAAACAAGCTGACGGCTCGGTCGAAAGTGGTAATCGTCATCTATAGGTAGTTACATCACCATAAATATCGTATGGTACCACAGATCATTTATACGACTTTTTTTTATACGACTTAGAATGGCAAACAAGCTGACGGCCCACCTGATAGAAAGTGATAACCGTCGCCTATAGACATGAACAATACCATGGACATAACAGCACACACACATACTGTTACGCCCATGATATCCCCCATGCGTTGCCATTCCTGAGGACTCAGGTGTTATTCCTCTGTACCCAGTAAATTCACGCCATATCCCACCCTTCAAACCGAAACACAGCCATGCAAACACAACTGCTTCACGGTAGAAACACGAATGGGACAGAGGTACCCAAGCAATCGACTTTTGTACAAAGTCTCCCTCTGGTATACTAGATACTATTATGGTACTCATCATCAGAATCTAAATCCAGCTATATGTTTTTTATTATTATTATATCAGTCGTTAATTGCCCACTGTTGGACATAGGCCTCTTCCATAATAAGGGTTTTTTTTAATGGGTGAAAATGGTAACCCCGCCTGCGCTAACGGGATTCGCTGGCGGAGCACCAGTGAAGGGTGATAGATGAAAATGAAAACAGGCCAGTTAGCGCATCATGATGAATTCATCAGGAATTAACCATGATAGTTTCCAGGGAGAACCGCGAGGAGGTCGACCTGGTTGGGTATATTGCTAGCAATGGGATTCTCAGTCTCCATTACTAACAATCCCTTTCCCCCCTCCATAATGAGGGTTTTACCAGTAGTTGCTACGATTGGCAGACGGATTGGCAATCGCAGTTAGGTTTTGATGATGTTGTAAGAGGTACGCTGCTGCCCATCCCTCAACCCTTAAGTTTCCTTAGTCGTCTCTTACGACACTCATAATGCAGAAGAGTGGTCCATTCTATGCCGGGACCACACAACAAGATGATCAGCTATATATATTAAGAATAATACAATGAAATGTCATGTAAACTAGGTCGCAAACATTATAAGGTCGCAAATAATAAATGATAGAAACTTAGGGAAGTTATTTATTATTAGTTACTTAGTTGTTATGTATTAGCGGCACGAACGGGAACCACTCCTATATTATCCAGGTTAAAATAACTGCATTAGGCTAATCGTAACAAGATTCACTCTTGTATACTTATAACCTGCCAATGAGGGGGAAAGGAATTGTTAATAATGCGGACTATCAGTGCCATTACTAACAATACACACTGTCAGGCCAACCTCCACGTGGTCCCCCATGGAAACCATCGTGCTGAATATTATAATTCCTTACCTAACTTTTAAAATATTTTTTTTGTAAAAGGATAATGTCCACATACAGGTATACTAATGACCAGTTATACAGGTTTATTAACAAAACGCAGGATGTTTGCGTGAAGCACACAGTATATTGTCTAGGTGCCTAGTGCTTTCGTTACCGCGCATATCCGGAGCATGGTAAGCGAATCACCACATTAACAAACGTTATCAGGTAACAAACTGGAACGGCGAAATTAGAAAAACTATAAATTATTGTATGTCAATGAACTCATCTCCATTAATAGGAAAAGTATCTACGAGATATAATTTAATTGCATATATCTTCATAGTTAAAATCAAAAGAATAAACATATATAGTAATATAGAATAATAACACATTACACTATTAAACATAGTTATGCATATCAAAATAATTCTGTCACGGATATTGTTTAATAGAAATCTTCATGTACTATGCGCAGTGAAATTAAATATTTTTTTCCAAAGAATTGTAAGTCAAAAACGACAAAAAAAGAAATGTAACCTCTGTTATTAAACGTACAGGACCCAATATAAAATCTTTTTAAATTTCGTATTTGATGTCTGGATACAAATGTGAATATCAGTGCTTTTTGTATGCATAAAGATGAAGAATGAATGTACCCACATTTACTAATGATATCTAATGACGAGGTACTATTAGACTCTAATAGTACCTCACAAAAGATACTCTGATGATTAGAGGAAAAAACGATGAGGATGAAGTCAGGCCAATTGGCCCCTTGTGATGAATTCACTAGGAATTAACCATGATATTTCTCAGAAAGATCTCGTGGAGATCGACCCAGCAGCGTATATTGCTAGTAATATACCTACACAGCCGTGTATAGCGTCCGCATTACTAACAAAAATTTCTCATTCGTTGAATCTAATTGCTACCTAGATTAATAATTCCCTAGAGACTACAGTACTGATTTCTTCAAAAAGGGTATATTAGGGTTTCTAACAACCCTAGTGTTGCAGGCGTTCATAGGCTAGTGACCATTTGGCATCAGATGGGCTATATGATTATTTTCTTTTTTTTACAACACAGGGGGCAAACGAGCATGCTGCCGGCCTTTTAAAAAGGAATTTGCTCTTTTCTTAAAGATTATGTTGTCGTATCGGTTCGGAAATACTGCTGCTGGAAGTTGATTCCGAAGAATGGTTGTGCGTGGGAGAAAGTGCCTTGAAAAACGCACGGTGGAGGACCGCCACTCGTCCAGATGGTTGGGATGAAATTTTAGCGCATTCATTTTTAATAGCTGAAGACTGATTAATTTAATCTGGATGTTCGGGTATCCGGATGTACTTTTTAATAAGTGAAAATGGTATTGTAACCCCGCCTGCGCTATCGGTATACACTAGTGGGGTACCAGTGAGAGGTGATAGGTGAGAATGAAAAGGCAGGTCAGTTACACCGTGACGAATTCAACGATAAATTAGTCACGATAGTTTCCAGGGGGAACCGCGTGAAGATCGACCTGATAGGGTATAACGATAGTAATGGGGAGGTTAATCCCTTCCCCCCTGTCCGGATGTACTAGAACATTCTAGTCGTCATCTCGTTCTCTATCTAGATTATGTACTTTACTACTAATCCATAGTCATTAGTCTTAACAGGAATCGTTTTGATATATCGCGACCTATGTAGCCTCGACTTTAGTTACATACTCAACCCAGTAAAAACAGTAGGTCTTCCATACATTGCTTATAAAAACGTCCATTTATAGATGTAACAGTTTCTAAGTAATTAATGCTATTAGCATTTACCTGCCTATTGATGGGACGTTTATAAAAAAAAGTTCATTAGCATTACTTACGTCGGCGGACAAGGTAAAATCATCCAGTCTGCATAAATAACTGGTTACTACCCCCAGTTACAACCGACTTAAAAAAAAAAGAAGATACTCAATACAGCTGTTTTTTTTTCTTTTATATTTGTTACCTTACAACTCAGTTCTAAACCGATTTGGAAAATTATTTTTATATCTGAAAGGATATACCTACAGATTAGTTCTTTACAAATGTTATCGAAATCGTTTCCGTAGTTCCATTTTTAGAGCAACTAAAAGTGGTTTTGTAGATTAGAAACCAAAAACAAAAACACCGAAATTAAACAATAATCGCACTTGCTGAAAATCGTCCATTATTTCTTTGACAATGTCCGTCTAAATCATTATCATCATCAACATCATATCAGTCATTATCTGACCACTGCTGAACACAAGCCTCCCATATCTGCCATAAAGAACGGTTCTGAGCCACCTACGACCACTGATTCCCTGCAATGCATTTGAGGTCACTATCTGTTAGGGGTTGTCCTACACTGGTTTGTCCATAAGGGATCGCGTAAATAAGTTCAATAAATTCATTCGTAACAAATACGTATACATATCAGCATTTAATTTATTAATTTAAAGCCAATTCGTTGACTACGTTCAGCAATATGCTATTGACATTTAAATATTACTTTACTATTAGGTAATGCTGCAGTGCGTACTTTAGAAAGTTACATAGAAATTTAATGGTTTTTACATTATATAAATATAATACTTATATATTTAAAAATTACAGTCACGGTTAGGTAATTTTAAATTTAAATTCAATTTATTTATTTCAATTAAATTAAATTTAGTAGCCGTATTCTACTTAGATTATTTAGATAGAGTATCTCCATACAAATGCTTCGAAAAAACCGGGTTAACTTTTTCATACAATTTTGCGTAATAAATAGCTATGAGTGATTCCTTTATAATTTCTATATTTATTTTGTCTTATAATTTCTGTACATTTTTAAAGCGTAAATACTCATTTTATTTATTAAATAATACGTCATGATACATTGTGTGCGTAAGTATATAGAACACTGATAAAAAAAGAATCAGTTATTTTGCCAAATTAATTAATTGTCAAAATCAATTTAATTTAATTTCTCTCATCTCGCTTTTTATGTATATTTGTATGTGTTATAATTTGTGTGCTGTAAGTAATGCAAATAAATTATCTATCTCTCTAATTAGCTGACAAAAAGTTGACCCGTTTTTAGAGCTTTATCCATATGGATAAAGCTCTAAAAACGGGTCAACTTTATATGGATTATATAATCTAAGCCGTTTCTTAAGTAATTTTTTATTTACTTAGCGATTACCTTTATTTTTGTAACCAGATTGTTAATCTCTGTGTTTACATACATTATTTATTATAATTAGACGTATAGTACACAGTTATGTAATGTGAGTTAGGTAATGAGAGAGATAAATTATTATTAATAATAAATATGTAATTAATACAGCATTAATCTATGACTAAACATTAGTGTTTTCCATTATGTTTGTACTAAATGGATTCTCTTTTATTTGCAGTTGCTGTGAACGTAGACGACCGGCCGGTCTGCGTGGAAATCTGTGATACTGCTGGACAGGTGGGTAGATATACTTAACTTACTAAAATACAAATTCGTTAGAATTAAATGGAAATGCCGTATCTAATTATATTGTTTGTATTGTAAATATGGGATTGTCTGCAAGATAAAAATCCCTAACTGACTAAACTGGATAAGAACTTAATAAATAAGATGAGCTTCAGCATCCTTTTTAAAACATCTCCAAAGCCTGATTACGAACTACCCGTTACCACTAGAACCCGTTACTAACAACCTCCCCTCCCCCCGACACTTAGAAGTTGGTAACACATTGGATTAGACGATTCAAATTTCAGGTAACAGTTCCCGCTTTTTAGAATTATATTCTTTAAAACGCCTTTGATCTCAACAGAATTAATAATGAAGTATGGTTTCCATCGCTACTCAACAATAAAATATCTGTGTGTACTTATAACCTTCCGGTTTCCTAACCAAGAACTGAGTTCAGGGAAAAACCAGAGGAAAATGATTGATTGATTACCATCACACTTATCTTTCACGGTCAGAAATAGTTTTTGCGATACACTGGAATAAATCTAGCTACTAATCTAGAAAAATGCATAATGCATCATAGGTATTATAATGTTCGCTTTCCATTACGTAACAGAACCTTTTTATCTCCAGCGTTTTTTTTTTAAATTTATTATACATATTAAAATATTTATAAAACCATCTTCATACAGTAACATAAACTAAATGTACAAGTTTTTCTGTACTCTTGTCTTTGACTAAATTGATATTAATTCAAATTTTAATTCGTTTTTCGAATTTAAAATTAGATCTAGCTGCTTATGTAGCCTGCATTCTGTCAGATCATAGATCAAGCATAATATTTGGCATCTTCTTTCTACGTGTCTTATCTTTGTTGCGAGGAAATTTTATTTCAATGATTTAAATAAAATATTCATTGATTATTTGAATAGAATTATTTTGTATAATTCCACTACCATTAGTATGTGTTCGACGCCTAATCTGCAACAATAGGTTCCAAGCAGCTGTCTAATAATTTGCCTGAATAAGACACGTGTCACAAAAGGTGCGTGAACAAAATTACAGTCGAAGATTGATGGCTAATATGGAAGCTTGTGGTTCATCTGGTAGTAGTAATGGTGGTAACCAGTAATATGGATTTTCGCAAGAAAATAGTTCAGTAAAATAAAAAAAATATATTCATATTACGTACAGGCCTCGGTTTAAGTATCAGCCCGTGATTATTTACTATTACTATACTATCTGATACTTAAAATATTCGTAAATTACACTCAATAATGTATTATTATTTATTTCGTATTCGTAATTATTTAATTTTTTGTATGTTTCCACAAAATAAAATCTCTGTTAAGAATAAATTTAACAAACAATAGTTTTGTTCTACACGAAGACGTAATATTAGTTTCACATGTCGAAGTCCAATTATTTCAAAGTCAAGCCTATTATTATAAGTATATGTGTATATAACTTCCTGCTTCCTCTCTTATTTACCTACTTCCTACTTAGAGTGAGGAAATGAGCCTAAAATTATTTACCTGTTAAACATACCTGTATTATATAGGTAACTGCGTAGTTGTATATCGCTGCTTTACCTGCATGAAATACATAGTATAAAATATTATGTTAATCTAATAGTCCATTTGCATTCTAAAGTTTCTTCAAATATTTCTCTTCATATTATCAATAATTTCCCATGTAGTCCCGGCATAGAATAGGCCACCCCTTCCTTTCCTGTGGGTGTCGTAAGAGCCGACTAAAGAAGGGTAAGGGATGGGCAGCAGCGTCCCTCTTAAAACATCTCTAAAGCCTGACTGCGGTTGCCTATTCGCCTGCCAAGCGTGGCTACTACTGGCAAAACTCCCCTAGGTGAAGGCTTATGTTCAGCAGTGAACAGTTAAAGGCTGATATGATGATGATGATGATGATGATGATGATGAATCAATAATTTATTATTGTGATAGTTACAATTTCATATAGTAACTATATACATATATATATATATATATATATATATATATATATATATATATATATATATATATATATATATATATATAAGTTGGCCTCACCCCCTTCTCTGTGACGTAAAGATGATTGATCATGAAAGGCCGCGCCGAGCTCGGTACATGCAAAACATATAGAGCAGGTCGGGATAAATGTAACTCTATCTGTTCTATATATGTATGATGAAAATGAAATGCTGCCACTTTCGTCCTTAACAAAAAAGTATAGTACATTTATACCACAGTCTAAAACTTTGTGCTTATACTACCTCTAAGTGTTAACATGTATAAGAGCTGAGTCACCCTTAAGCACTTCCGACTTCTCATAAGAAAGACAAAGTGCATGCTTTCTTACTATAAAAATAATTTAAAATACTTCTCATCTAAACAGTATTTAACAAAACCCTATCTAAGTGATTAAATATTTTTTTTTTAAATTTTGTGTACCAATGTCTATAAATTATTGTAAAAAAAATTCTTACTTTAAATCTTTTTTATTTATTTTTTTTTAATAAGACAGACTTTCTTTTGTTTAGATAAAAACAAATATTATACACGCTTTTGTAGAAAGACGTCTAAACATGTATTGAACATATGTTTATCGCAAGTTCAATTTTTTATGGCTCTTACCAAAGAAACACAGACTTTAAATAATCATTCAGAAAGTTGAAACTTTATTGTTAAACAAAAAGTATTTGTCGCAAAACATAGAAATGGAAATAATTTTAGAACGAAAACATAAATTCTCTAGTTTTATAACAACTGTCTTAAAAAAGATATGTCACATTCGAAAGCTGAATGTTACGCAGATATCTCACGCTGCCTCTTAGAACTTCACACGGAAAAAACAGCACGTGCACCATTATGAATAGTATTGAGTCAGTTTGATCAAACATTTGCCATTTTTTCGACTGTTCAACAATAGTCGTAGTTTGTCGGTTCCCATAGTTTCTCTACCTGTGGGTTTACGATCGCACCTATTGTTACAGCTCTGGGACCTTGTATTTGTCAACGCATGCTTCCGTCACCGTCACATTTAATTTTCAATTACCTTTACCTGCATTCAGGGAGTTACCATGAAATGAAACTCTAAATTTTCGAACTCATGTTTTCGTTCATACCGAAATCGGACCGGTAAATGGAACTTAACATTTCGTTCGTGAATCCTACCCTAAAAGTACTAAGGAACGATATTTTAATATTATTAAACAGTATGTATTACGTAATTTTGACACTGATATTGTGTTTCGTTCGACGTCGAAATTTCGGAAAACATTTCATGGTAGACTCTCTGCATGTTTGTTTCACATGCATTAACTTTTCCACTGAATTACGTAAACGCCATTATTTATTAGGTGGCATTAGTTATAATATAAAACATTTATGATAATTCATATTCTTTAAAATACTATAAAAACTGTTATAAAAGTTATAAGGATACTGCGGCTTTGGCCTTGCGAACCTAATATTATAATAAAAATATGTCTACTCAGCGTACCGTAGCCTCTCAGTCAGCGTAAATATCTGTCATATTACTTTTTGTCAGTCTATTTTTAGATGTTGATTCAATAATTCCAAAAATAACCTTACCTACATCGTCTACCTACACTTTCAGTACTTATGAGGATAAATTATATGTTTTCAATCGATTTAAATAATTAGAGGCTTATAATTATAATAGCGTTAAAAATACCATTCGTATGCTATCGTGTTTATCTCTACTACAACAGTACTAGCAAAAGCCTTTGGTATGCCCCGAAAAATTACATGACAATTTGAGCCACATTGTTCTGTCTATGTGTCCGTTCGGCAATTGGCTGGAAAGAATCATCACACAATAGAAATTTAGTAACTTTATTGGCATATTTTACCCGGACTTGAATCACAGCTTGCAAGCTATTTGGTGGCAGAAACTCATTTGTTCCTTCTAAGCATAAATATCTTATTCCTAACAGTAACTCAATTCCAATTATTTATTCAAACTATTTCAATGGTATTGCAGGAAAAAAAAATTGCACATGAATTAATGAATGAATGATGTGAGATAAAATAAATAAACATTATTATTATTATTATTACTTAATATATTTTTGCACATATAATGACTTTGATTTGAGTAAAAATTCTATCTAATTTGCACATCAATAAAATTACTTCAAATAATTCATCCGATGAAGCAATTCGAATCAAATAATTGTAGTTGTGTTGAGTGATTCCAAGATACATAGTATTACAAGTCCTTTTATGGTATAGTCAAAGAAAAAGGAGATCTTGCGCAACATATTTGGCAAATATATTAGGCAATAAATAGTGCTACAATTGTCTGCTGCTATACTATCAATGGGCCACTTTCACCATGGCCACCGTCTCTGTTAGCACTCGATCTCTAAAATAGTTTCGTTTTGCTTTTACATTATACGTTTCGTAATTCTAATGGCTTCATTGATGTAAACTGTAAACGTCATCATTGGAATTTGATGACATGTCCAAAGATCGCTTCACAGGAACCTGTACCGTGTAATATGTGAAACTTTCTCTTCATAAAACTGCGAGGCGTTTTGTACTTACAATTTTTCTTCGACAATCCTGTAACGTCTTATTTCTAAATAGGTGTCCTTCAGGTACATTCTGATCAGACGACTTGGAAAAAAAAACTAGTTTTCTATCTCTTACACTGGGTAATGAAGTGATATATTGTACAAAAAAAATACTTTCTTAAACTACCATGGACGCATGTTGACAGGAGATTTTTTTAATACAAATACGATAATAATCAGTTGTACGTACAGTCTGCCTAATTTTCATGAATGCTTGTGAAACCGAAGGTGTAACATCTGCGTTGCTGAAGCAGAAAAATCTTTAATTTTTAAAACAATCTATGTTATAGTTTTTCGGGAAATAGGTCTTATATTGGTTTTGTTTTTAAATAAAGTACATTTAGATCGTCAACTGTTTATTATATTTACATTTTAAACATATATATGTTTAAAATACAATAATACGTAGGTACAATACACAAGTAGGTACATATATATGTATCTACTTCTTGTTGTCTTACTATAATAAAATTGTAAATGTCTGTATATGGTAGATATTTAAGAAAAAATAATATAAGGGGTGCTGTATAAGGGTAATAGAATACAATATTTTTTAGAAATTTTGTCTATCTATCTGTGTGTTTGTTTCGGTATCATGCAAATATTGCATTTAATTAGATGCGATTTTCACAGTTGTATTCCTGTAGGTCTAACTTAAAATACAATGTACGTGTTATTTATTTATTTATACTTTTGCACACATTGAAAAATGTCTACAGGGCGGACTTAATGCCTGATGGCATTCTTTACCAGTCACAGATTTAGAAAAAAATAATAAATTAAATAAATATTTTAAGAGATAACAATTGATAATAAATAAACATACAAACATATAGAATAATATACTCACAAAAAATATATACACGTAAATCACATACAATACATATATAAATAACCATACATAGTATATACTAAATTAATAAATATATTTAAATAATAACTTATAACAGATTAAGGCTTTTCATTGTTGTGATAAATTGCTCTAAATATATAATCTAGAAATGACCTATTTTTCTGATTTTCACGGACAAAACACAAATTTTCTAATATTAGTTGATTTTTTCCATATAAATATATCAAAATATGTACTTTCCAGGACTCAATGTCGCCTCTCCGGTCTCTGTGCTTCCCCGGCACAGACGTGCTGATGCTCTGTTTCTCCGTAGTGCGTCCAGAGACGTTCAAGTCGGTCGCCGAACGGTGGACGAAGGCAGTTGCTAATGTTAACGCTCCCCTAATCCTCGTCGGCACTCAGAGTGACTTGGCCACGGAACCACGTGTGCTGCAATCGTTGCGAGTAAGTTATATTTAAGTCACCGCTGAACCAAGATAATTTTTAAAGTAATTCTTTGTTAGCGAAATAGAACACCTAGACAAAACTTTTAGATATTTTCTTAAGTTTTTTTTTGTAATGGGTGAAAATAAATTGTGACCCCGCCTGCGCTATCGGTATACACTAGCGGGGAACCAGTGAGTGATGACAGGTAAGGATGAAGCAGGTTAGTTTTTTTTATACAACTTAGAATGGCAAACAAGCTGACGGCCCACCTGATGGAAAGTGGTAACCGTCACCTATAGACATGAGCAATACCATGGACATAACAGAGTATACTGTATCGCCCATGATACCCCCCATGCGTTGCCATTCCTAAGGACTCACATGTTATTCCTCTGTACCCTGTACATTCACGCCATATCCCACCTTCAAACCGAAACACAGCCATACAAACACAACTGCTTCACGGTAGAAACACGAATGAGACAAAGGTACCCAAGCAATCGACTTTTGTACAAAGTCTTCTGAGGGAGAGGGACTCCCTCCTATGGCCTATGGTGACGAATTTAACAATTATTAACCACGATAGTTTCCAAGAAAAATAGCATGGAAATCGATCTAACAAGGGGCCAGTTAAACCCCATTACTAACAATCCCTTTCCCCCCCTTAATTGTATTTTCTGATAACGGCAATATACTAATTACTATTTTTTTATTCAATGAATGAATAATTAAATGTTCAATTGTTTTTCTTTTGCAGGCCCGTGGAGAACACCCAGTCACAGAGATGGAAGCGCGCGCGCTAGCGAACAAAATAAACGCTGTTTACATAGAAACGTCTTCAAAAACTAGGAAACAACTAAAAGACGCATTCGATGCCGCCATCTTGGCTGCTTTGCCGGTGACTCAGACCAAGAAGTCCTTTTGGAAAAAGATGTGTTGTATATGAGCCAAACATCGGCCTTTGTGGACTTTAGACATTTCAATAATGAACAATGTTTTAGTGCGTCATTTCAAAGTATTCTGTTGGAGATATATAGAATACTTTTATGGACCAAAGACAGTCGAAAAGTACCTATAGGCAGAACAATATTTCAATACTTTTACATTGCACTATCTTTAAAATTACTAAACTATTAGATTTAACTGTGTCCCGTTAAGTTTCGCAATTTGTATATACTTACTTTAGAGAAGACTTGAGTAGTAAACCTTATATTCCATAGTAACAAAAGAAACTATATACATAAGTATAATGTATTATCTGTTATATCTTGTATTGTGCTGCGTAAAGAAAAATAAATATCGTACATAAATACTGGATTAGGTATCATTTTACGCAAGTGTCTTGTATTCTATTTTTCTTGGTAAAGAAAAACTATTCGACAAGTATCTATGATACCATATTATTTTCAATGACGATTTTAATTTTATATTGTGCTGTAGTAACATAACATATTGACTAAAAGAAATGACTCCTTTTTTTTTAGTACGTTTGTTCCGTTGTGGAACAGGCTAAGGTTCGGAGACCATACTGCCTAGTCTTCAATATGATAAATTGTCTGGAATAGAAATGACTCCATCGCATGTATCATTTATTTTATTTGTTTTTTTTTTATTAGGTTTTTTTTTCAAATGCATATGAAATTACCACAACAAAATAAATTTTACAAACAAACAGCAAAACAAATGGGCTGATTGATATTAAGGTTTTTAAAAGACTTTATGTGCAAGTATCCAATAATTGAATTGTGTACCTAGGTACAAATTAATTATTTCTTCCGCAAAAACAGCTAGTTCACTCCTAACAAAATTGTCATGGGACAAACATTCCAAATTTCGAAAAGAATTGTCAGAATCGATTTATAAATAGCGAAGATGGAGTGTAAAAATACACATACACACACATACAAACTCTTTATATTATTTTCTATATAGTACACGGTAAGCTTCAATTGTAACATAAATATTACGGGAATAAAGATTAACAACTGTAAAAAAGAGTCGTCAAAATAAAAAAATATATAGGTGGCTATTTGAATTGAGAACTACCTTCTTTTTTATAGTTGCTTAAAAATATGTCAAAAGCTGCTTTCAATTAACTTTATACAAAAAGTGCCTTATTGTCTTACATAATATGAATTAAATTCCTATAGACTATACATATTTCACAGAGAAATTAAAAATTGTTACTGTTATAATTATTGTAACGTATCAAGTGTCTTTGTGAACAAAATACCTATCTATATATACACATTTTAAATCTTTTAAATGTAATTATCTAAAGATCTTGTTACAATATTGAATAAATATTTAGAATCTATTATATATGTATGTGTACATATATATGGGTTAACCCAATAGTGTCAACTCAATCCTTCACGGGAACATAAAAATTGTAAGCGCAGTTGACTCCATGATACGATTCTATTTTGATTATAGAAAATTTTATTCAAATATAGAAAATATTTGAATAAAACCGCTGATTTATTAAATGATTATTATATTTACGAAGTGAAAAATATTATGGGCTATTTTTACGTTTTATGGCACGTACACTTAAAAATGACAATAAGTCAATTGGCTACAAGTGCTATAACTTAAGGCTATAATTAATCAATTAACTCAAATTTATTACTTTTTCTTATAATTTCAATTCAAAGAATTATAAATAGATTATAATATTTGCCTATAAAAATTTAAATTTTAAATGTGCGCTTTTTTAGCGAAAACGAATGATACCTACCTATACATAAAATTATATTTTTAAGGCATTTGTAATCTATTTAAGCAGATAAAAACCTATTTTAATGTTAAGTTATATGAACTAATTCATGTACAGTTTCTTAGAATTTAAGGGTAATGTTATATGAATATGCAGTTATTTTGTTTTATGGCCTTTATCTGTATATAATTCCGATCCTAATTATGTTAATGTTGTTTTGATACTCAATTCGAACTGATAATTATATTTTATTACAATTTATACCTGCGTTTTATTGTTCTACTACCAAATTACCAGAGAGAGTTTGTACAAAAGTCGTTTGCTTGGGCATCTCTGTCCTATTCGTGTTTCAACCGTAAAGCTGCGGGTCTACCATGAAATGAAATTCCGAAGTTTCGGACTCAATTTGGTGTTTTTGTTTATACCAAAATCGGACCAATAAATGGAGTTTAACATTTCGTTTGTCATACATCCTACCATAAAAGTCCCAAGGAATAGTATTTTCATATTTTTAATGTTTTCAAGCTGTAAGTATTAAGTAATTTTAACATTAAATTTCTGTTTCGTTCGGCTCCGAAATTTCGGAAAACATTTCATGGTAGACCCTCAGTTGTGTTTGCATGGCTGTGTTTCAGTGTACAGAGGAATAACAACTGAGTCCTCAGGAATGGCAACGCATGAGGGGTATCATGGGCGATACAGTATACTCTGTTATGTCCATGGTACTGCTCATGTCTATAGGCAACGGTTACCACTTTCCATCAGGTGGGCCGTCGACTTGTTTGAAAAAAAAGAAAAATAGGTCTACATAAGTACTATAATTCCTTAAGGGGTAGTCAGATATTTTTGGCGAATAATACCTACCGTTGTGGGAGGAAAGGGATTGTTAGTAATGGAGACTGAGAATCCCATTGCTAGCAATATACCCAACCAGGTCGACCTCTTCGCGGTTCTCCCTGGAAACTATCATGGTTAATTCCTGATGAATTCATCATGATGGGTTAACTAGCCTGTTTTCATTCTCATCTATCACCCTTCACTGGTGCTCCGCAAGCGTATACCGTTAGCGCAGGCGGGGTTACCATACCATTTTCACCCATAAAAACCTACCGTTGTAATTTTTTTCTTTGACGGATGACAATGGAATCGTCTGCGCTAATGGTATACACTGGCGGAGCACCAGTGAGGGATGATAAGTGAGAATGAAAAGGCAGGTCAGTTAGCCCATCGTGACGAATTGAACGATAAATTAGTCACGATGATTTCCAGGGGGAACCGTGTGGAGCCTAGCGTTGTAGTGAACGTGACATTAACATATCCAGATTTCTCTACGTACATTTGAATTTAATTAGTCTACCACTCTCTATCATCGCCAATAGGATTAAATTAATTTATTAACAATTTCCACCGATTGAAAGTCGAACATAAAAATCAAATCTAAAAAAACTATACCTATTTTTAATAATTTTTTTGACGGTACAAAAACGAGATTGAAAAGAAACCGATGACAAATAATTAATGTAATGTATGTTCAGTAGTGGACAGATAACGTCAGAGAAATAAGCATATACATTTAACATGCTACGTTGGTGGTTATAAAAAATAAATTCAGTACCACATAAAGTGTATTATTTACTTTCTTTCTTAAGTATTAAACGTTGCCTTCTTCTTAGAATTTTAGTCTTAATATTAGTTTATAATGTATTTAATTTTATCACAATATGTAAGTATAAGGTCTAAGAGTTAAAGTACGTAGATTCTTTTTATTTTGTACAAGAAATATATTTTACAGTTGGCAACCCAGCTGTCTCATCATGACAATGTCACTGTCAAGTCAACAGCCACATTATTATTTCACTATTTGTTTTGGCTCTAAACGTCGGTTATAAATTTATATTTATTTTTTGTCTATACTTATAATTAGTTTTACCTCCAATTTATGTTATTATAAAAGATACATCTATATTGTTACTATTACACTCGTAAAATGACTGAAGAACACTATACAGATGTCGATATATCGGATATTATAGATGACACGGAAACCGATCAATTCCTCGACAGTCATCCACAAAACACAGAAACTAGCGATATTCTGAATAGTATACAAGACTCTGAACTGCTAAACTCGGAAGATCAAGAGCCTGAGAAAAAACCACAAAACAAAAGTGAGGTTATACGCTCGACGAGGCTGCCTATGGCTCGCGTAAAGAATATCATGAAAATGGATCCTGATGTCAGTATCGTATCAAGTGATGCTGTATTCTTAGTTACCAAAGCTACAGTAAGTTTTATTTATATATTTGTTTTTACAACACTATCACTTGATCTAGTATATGATAAGAGACGGAACAAAAAGTATATCTAGCTATATCTTTTCCATATCAAATAGTGCATACATATATATCAAATTTCATGACAATTGGTTGAATCGTTAAGACATCTTTTATTCCTTCTGTGAACTCTCAGATTGCAGAATGAACTTCCTAATGCTTTTTCTCAAGACTACCGAATAAAGTTTGTAAGATATCTCTTGTATTGCAATTGTTTATAGACAATAGACAGCCTCAAATGCATTGCAGGGAATCATTAGATGCAGGTAGCTTAGGGCCATTCTTTATTACAGATAATAGTTGATATGATGATAATGATAAGCAATAGTAACCATTTATATGCTTGTTCACCACCATTATATTGTGAAAAAGTACTCTATATATTTTTACACATATAAGTCTGTTTTTTTTGCCTTTTGAATATTAGTAAGTGTCATGCAAGCACTTTAGTCTTTTATAGATACGAACAGCGTCATTAGAATAAGAGATTGTTGATATATGTACTGCTTATATTCCTCAATCATGGGCAGTACTTATATGAATATGTATTTGTATGGCAATTAAAAATATATATTTTTTCAGGAATTATTCTTGGAGACAATAGCCAAAGAGACATATTCCTACACATCCACAAATAAGAGAAAATTAATATCGAAAAAGGATCTAGATTTAATCATCAACAAAGTAGACTGTTTATGCTTCTTAGAGGGTGCTATGGACTTTTAAAATATATCCAGTGAAATATTACTTAAAGTGTGACAAAAGATTAAAAGCAAATTCAAATAAAATAGGTAAATATTCAAATAAATAAGATACAAAAACATTTTTGCAACAATAGGTATCTAATGAATGGTACCTACCAGATGTTTCAGTTTGCTCTTAGACTCTCTGAAATCGATATTTTAATATTGTTTTATTATGAACAATTCTAAAAATATAAATATTGAAAGTTTCCAATATTTTTACTTTATGTCCTTTTACATAACTATAATTTACATTACACTATTTAATCATTGTGCTTTATACATACTGTGTGGAAGGTAGAATAATCTTACATATCCTTCCAAATACTATTAAAACTGAAAATTGATAGTCTGATAATAATAAGGAATTAGAATGGATCATTTACCATCTGGAAAAGGGAACTCATGATCAACAAAAATTCTGTCTTAAAAACAGTCTTTTACCGTTTGCTCAGTTCTTTATTTCTCCCTGGCCTTTCATCATGGAATCACCATTCTTTTACCTAATATATTTGGCACTTATATTTAATTTTCTTTTTTACTAAATATATTAACCTGTTTACAGATTAAAAATAAATACAAACATCAGTTTAGAAGTCCAATTTATTTAGCATGGTCTTGATTTTGAAAAAAAGGAATCAGGACAATTGATTTTATTTTTGATGAGTCAAGAAAATGAAATAAAATTCAATATCGATAAATGAAAATAACCTCTCTATTATAGAGAAGATTCAATATTTTTCTGTACATTTGTTAATCAGAAATTACAATTTTGAACTGTATATATAACAATTTAAAAGTTTCTAGTTTCTAAAATATTTTTCTAACAGGTACAGTGAACACAAAAAGTTTTGATTAATTAAAATAGAAATAATTGTAAGTATAAATTAAGGAAATATAAAAAAAAAAAAGTTTAATTGTTTGCATTTCTTTGATTTTTTATTGTATAGTTGACAATAAGTCTAAATAAAAATAAGAAAGGGTCTGAAACATGAAGTAAAGGTTCAGTATTCATTATAATAATTTGTGGAAAAGTACAGTGTAAAGATAGTGTTTTTGTAACAAAACCAAATATAATACAATTTCTCTTTTTTTTTTTATTAATTCTTAGTCCATTGCTGAGAATTATACGTCAAGTCTATGTTGACAATTATTATTATGTCAGTTATTATTCAAATATTATTTATTTTTAAATAATAAGGTTTATATAAGATTCTCTTTTTGCATTCACTAAACCTAAGTTGTTGCATAGACATATACACACTTAACCTTCATGTACTATCACAAAACTTTCACATATTACCACTTATAGTGTTTTTTTTTTTTTTTCAATCATAAACTGTATTCATGCTTTTGAAAATATTTCAAATGTGTAACATTGCATTTGAGAACCCTAAATTATTAATAGATTGAAAAAATGATTTATATATGTAAAAATATATATGTATAAAGGTATTGCCTGCTGAGCTAGTAGGTAAGGCCAAAATGACACTTCCATAAATAACTTCAATTAAAAAGAAGTTTTAGTTAAAAATTAAACATATTGATACGATTCAATATCGTAGACAGTATTCAAAGAATTTGAGTGATTTCCATTAAAGTTACACAATGAATTAATCTTGATTGTTGCCAAAGTTGTTGATTGGCCTTAATTATTTAAGACTTCGAAAATAAATAAGAGATGCAACAATATATAATGATATCAGGAACTGTGTTAGAGGAGGGGGAGGGGGGGGGATCTTATTGAGAACGTAAATCACAATCGTCTTCAATTATAAACCTCAACATTCCATAATATATACATGTTTTACATTTTTTTTTTTATTTTTCTAAGTCATTTACTCTTTTTTTCTTTCAAAACATTTAACTCTTGTCCGAAAAACAAGTGGCAACACATTTTTGTCTATGATATGAAAACTATGGCTACTCCGTTAGGAAGGGTAGGTTGGCTGCTATCCTAGGTTTTTTCTTTTTCATAGGCCGTGATGTTGCACTCTGCTGCTGCGTCTATAGAAAAAAAAAAGAAATATATATTTATCTTGATAATAGGATAGGTGACTAATTTTCACTTAACATACTAAATAACTAAAACAAATTTATTGATTAATTTGATTAATTTATCACGTGCATGAGAAATAAAAAGAGGCTGCACTTTGCTGTATTCTACTAACACATTCTATGGCTGTGTTTCGGTTTGAAGGATAGGATATGGCGTGAATTTACAGGGTACAAAGGAATAACACCTGAGTCTTCAGGAATGGCAACGCATGGGGGGAAATAATGGGCGAAACAGTATACTCTGTTATGTCCATGGTACTGTTTATGGTACTATGGTGGGCCGTCAGCTTGTTTGCGATTCTAAGTTATATAAAAAAAAAAATTCATTATTAATATCTATCTATCGATAGTATGCCATTTTTCAGTGGTGGCTGAGTTCTAATTTTTTTTTTATATGACTTAGAATGGAATAGAATAGAACAAGCTGACGAGATATGAGCAATACCATGGACATAACAGTACACACACATACTTGTAATAATTGTAATTTAGAGGGACACTTATATATTTAAAGAATGTTCTGGACACAGATACTATGTTTTAAAGAAGGTACAATTTCGATGTCTACAGTTATATATAACACTTACCGCATTTTGAGTAACTGGTTGAGGTCTAGGTAATATAGTTTTCGGTGCTTGAATATCTTCTTTTCTATTTGTAGATGATGTGCCTGTGTTTTGTATCCGCCTAGAAAATAATATACATCTTTTATTTTCACAACATTGTATATATTTTTATAAAATAATAAAATTATTATATTCCTCACGATGTAAACCCTGATGGCGTAGTTAGACGCAATTCGTTATCTATTGGCGGCTGAAGTCCGATCTATTGTTGAAAAAAAATAAGAAAAACCAACTTACCTTTGGCTGGTTTGTACTTGAAGTGGTACAAACGGATTGCTTAATCTCTCACTAGTATTAAGAGATGGATTGCCACTAGGATTTGGTTTGTTTTGATTTCCGGTTGGTGTCGAATTCTGAAAAAAGTTTATTTTTTTAAAGTGTACTTTTTCACCTATATTGCCTTCATCACGATTAGAATACTAACTAGTTATTCAGAGATACTAAATATTCGTGCTGTGTTTAAGTTTAGTTAGTATTACATATAAGAAGTGGGGTAAATTGAGGTACATAAGGTTTATATTTTTTTTATACTACTACGGTGGCAAACAAGCATACAGCCCGTTTGATGGTAACTGGGGTTACCGTAATCTATGGACGCCTGCAACACCAGGGATGTCACGCGCACATTGTCAACCCTTAAGAAACCTTAATACACCCTCATGCTATAATCTCTAGGGAAAGCCTCTGCAGGAAGATCGTTTCACAACCTGAGTGTACGCGGGAGGAAACTCTTCTGAACGGTTTCAGTGTGCGTGACCATTCTGATTCTAAGTTATAAGGATAGAGTTCCTGCCAGTGGCGAGCGGTACGATCGTGAAAGGTGGCTATAGGCATCATATTGAAGTTCTTCAGAAAATAATCCGTTATACAGGCGGTACAAAGAGAAGCAGTCTCGCAAAGTAAAATTAAAGGACTCTATACCGCCTGGTTTACCTGGGATTGTCGACAATTCTAATAGAGTCATGTGGGGTAAACGTACGCATTTTTTAGTTAATTGCTTCCAGAATAAAAGATTTTGATAATTGAAAAGAAAAAAACTTTTATTTTAACGTTAAAAACATTTGAGAAGAAAAACAAAACATAAAATTTCAATTCTAACAATAATTATTAGTTTTATTTAATCATTTAATGAACAAGGGAAACGCGGGTTTTTACCCGCATCGGCGGGAAAGTATCCGCACACCTTCGGTTAAGTGTACGCAGGTAAACTTAATTTGCTATTGCACAAAAATCACATGTGAATGTACCCTCTTCGTAACTTGTCCAGGCGTCGTGCCATCAAGGTAACAGATGTAACTTTATGGCTTTGTATCTCTTAAACGTCTACTGTGCTTATAGAGTTCAAAGAAGGTGTATTTCGAACTATAGCATCAGCAGATAGATTACACATATCAGTAACTGCAGATGGTGCTAATTCTGCTTCTGTAAATAAATCGTCTTTCACGCACAACCATTCTTTGGAATCAACTTCCAGCAGCAGTATTTCCGAACCGATGCGACAACATAATCTTCAAGAAAAGAGTATATTCCTTTTTAAAAGGCCGGCAGCATACCTGCAATGCCGTTGGTGTTGTGGATGATCATGGGCGGCGGTACTCACTTACCACAGGGGGCAAACGAGCATGCGGCTCGCATGCTCGTTTGCCCCCTGTGTTGTAAAAAAAAAAAAGGATATATTCCAGTCATCCTGAATGCTCAAGCTGCGTTACCTACAGTAGCAATTTTTTTAAACGCTCTGTCGAAAATAGAAGTTACTTGGTGTTGTTTAATAGATCTACCAGGATGCTGTGCCATACATTTATCAGCTTCAAGTGCGTACTGATTTTTTAGAGGACTGTAAATGGTTCTATCCAAGGGTTGTATATTGTGACTACTGTGAGGTGGCAATGTAAGTACAACGATGTTATTCTCTCTGCAATACAGAGTAGCTTGCAAGCTAATATGGCTTGAATGATTGTCAATAATCAGTATTGGTGAAGTGCATTCCTTGAAGTGTACCAGCCACTGAAAATATAAGTCCGCGTTGGTGAATCCGGAATCAAATGTCATGCCAATGCTACCAGCCGGAGCTCCGTCCATAAGTTCACCCTTCATTCTTTTTCGAGGCAAAATAAATGCAGGCGGCACATAATTTCCAGTTGCATTAACACAACAAACTACGGTTATAGTTTGACCACGTTCTCCGGAAACAATTTTGTCAACTAGAAGGCAAACAAATATGACTGGGTAAGTATATGCATTTTAATTAATGCGGACACTTACCCCTGGACACTTACCCCATCCCATTAAAGCAAATAAAAATAATAAAATTTCGAAGTATGACTTACCTTAGACAAAATAAATAGATTCACACAAAATATCTATAACTTCTGTTCTCAGTCACTTTATTATACAATCAGACTAATAACATTGCTTCAGTAACCATGCAAATTAATTTTAAAGAAAAAAAATAACAAATCCGTGCAAAAGCAATACTGCTGTGTAAGTTTCTACAGCATTGTGCAGCAAACCTGTGACGTAATACTCTCGCTTGGTGGTCAAGTGCTAACTAAACGCGATAGGTCTCGACCTGCTGTCATCCATGGGGTTCGCAGAATGTTCACTGCGGACACTTTTTCGCCGCGTACGTTTACCCCACATGACTCTATAAGTTGGTAATGAGTAGTAAAAGAATCTAAAAAAATGTGCTCTACCAGTCTTCTAATCGGATGTGACCAGAAAGAGCAATGAATCAATCATGAATTGCCACATAATTGTTTGGGGCATGCCAAAAGTATAGGAGCGCTAGTTGTATGTAGGTAAGACTCTGTGGTAGTAGTAAACATAAAAAAAACTAGCAATCCAGGAGGGTTGACAATGCTAACCTATGTCGTTTTCCATGCCAAATAGTATGTCTATATTAAATTTCAAGAATTGGCTGCACCATTAAAGCGCTAAAATGTAACAAACAAACATACTTTCAAATTTATAATATATAGTAAGTAGTAGACATACCTGACCGGCAGCCCAACTGGGTATTAATGAAATATTGGCGTTGCTAACAGTAGGCAAGTGTTTAGGGAAGCCTTGTGAATTCTGGTGAGTCCTGTTGAACTGGTTCTGGCTGCGCTGGTTGTCCTGGGTTCCGTGGTAGCCGTGCCGTTGGTGAGGGTTCACGAACTGCGGGAATGGGATTTGGTTGGGTCCTGGCCCGTGGAACGGCAGCGCAAAGGTCGGATACGGCGGCACTGGCACTTGGGTCTGAAAGGTAAAATGTCGTTGAGCTTAGAAATTATTAAAATATTTTTTTTCTCAGGCAAACTAATGAAATTTCGAATGAGAGTATATCCTTTCAAAATCTTCTAATATCTAATCTATAAGTGAAAATTTGTAATTAACTTATTTCTGGAATATGAAATGCATGGTTCCAGTAATTAAATACTAATAACTGAAACCATGCCTTTAGAGGCGGATTAAATGATCGCCCTAAACAATCGAGAATGCCCTTAGCAAGCAACTCATCGGCGGCCCTCTAGTGTATATATTATAAATTTTAACTGGTACTAATAGTGATAAACATCGATGGCTGAGTATGATTATGAGTTATTTAAAAATTGATACTAGCAAATACTGTAAATGATAAAAAAAAAAGTTGGTGCGTCTACATTTTTGTCAATAACATCGTTACTGTTTAAATATAACAATAAGTTTGATTCAATGTTAAGTATTGCTAACGAATTTAATCTCTTATTTGTCATGGAAGAGGAGGTTAGACAGAAAATCTCCGCTCACCACTACAATTGCTGACTGCCATCGATAAATGGACATTCCTAAGGCTATGTCAATGTTTGGGTAAATTGTATATATTTTATATTGTGTAAGTAGGTGCATAGTTACTTAGTGACATAATTAATTCTATGTTTTTTATTCTTTGTTTAAAAATACCGCGCGCCGCTAGACACGTAACTAGTTTGCCTTAGGGACTTAGGAACCTGCCGCTGCATTGCCTTACTTTTAAATAATATATATATATATATATATAATAAAAAGATTATTATTTGAGAAATTCGTGTCTTTTTTTTATGCAAAAGTATATATGTAATATCATTTTCATCGAGTATGAATATTCCAACTTTTTAACGTATGTGATTAAAAAATGACGAAATAATTATACTACTTGAGATTTTTAATGCGAAATATTATATGAAAATATACCCATGCCAAACAAATGTGAGGCACACAGATGAGACAATGTGAATGAATGTAAAATCATTCATCATTCTCACACAACACAATACCTGTGTATGTTGAATCATTTGTAAAAAAATCTCAATATCGAACGACCGAATAATCTCAGAGAGTGTATTATCTGAAAATGTATAAACGCGTTATATTTTTCGTCTTTATCTCTCCTTTGTAGAAGTACAAATATATGGCTAGGATATTATGGGCCTATTCAAGAGAATTTTCTTTATGTATATATGTAAACTATTAAATCAACTTATCTACAAAACTAATTAACAGATAAATCTTGACATTAGGTATGTCATTTTTTTAATATGAACCAGACTTAGCTTTTTTTTATTCAAAATTATTCAAAAAACGGATCTGACATATATAATATATATATATATATATATATATATATATATATATATATATATATATATATATAGATCCGTCAGTATTCTACGACTATGACGATATGTCTACTTTTCTGTAGATAACATTATCTCTAGACCAATGATTCTCAACCACTGTGCCGCGGCACTTTTGTGTGCCGCCAAATTTTGCAAATATTTAAAATTTTTGTCATAAACTATTTATGCAGTGTGTTGTAGTATGTAAATAATTTTTATCTTTTTCTTTGTGTGCCGCCAAATTTTGAAATCGTTAAATATGTGCCGCAACAAAAAAAGGTTGAGAATCACTGCTCTAGACGAACCCCTCATTTTCAAAATTAGTTTAAATTTCAATTTTGAAACTGTATACTGCTGGAAAAATATTAAAAACTCCAAGTAATCAAATTCCTACTGGAATAAATTTGTGATATATTAAATTCAAGGTGGTTTACCTTAAAATTACTGTTGGTCCACTCATTGCTATACTGGTGTTGCTGTGACTTACTGCTGTACGCCGCGGCGTTCTCTTTACGCCAGTTTTGCTGTTGCACGCTCCTGGGTAACAAAAATCATATTTATCATAATTAATATCGATATTTTGGATATTTAGTTAAAGAAAATTATTGCAAATAATAAATGTTGGTTAAACATAAATAAATATATTATGTTACTATGGCACGCGTATGAAAGACATGACATGAATTTTATGTATTTAGCGTTTTTTTTTTGTAAATGTATTCTTTTATCTCTTTTCATTGTGTATTAGTTATTTATTTTATTTACTTAACTCTTTATTGCACCAAAAACATATAAACAATTCAAGTGAAATACAATAGCAAAAAGTACAGATTAAAATGAATGTCTATCTATGTCTGTTATTATTTGTATGCTGTAAGCAAAGCAAATAAATTATATATCTATCTAAAATAACATAGTGCGTAAGTATAGGTTAATACATAGAACAAAAAAAAAACATTTATTGGCCACAAAACAATTTTATATTATAAGTACAAAAATCATAATAATAAATGGCAATAGGGTCGAATCTGGAGCGCCATTTCTCTAAATCAATCTACCTAATATTTTAATTTTACAGTTTCACGAAATTACTATTTTATGAACCATCATTTCTATTCTATTATATATACATATACTAAATTTATAATAGTTTAGACTTAAATCTATTAAAAAATTAAATTAATTAAAATAAAAATTTTACTGTGACATCTTATTGAAATTTTATTTTTGGAGATAGATTTAGAGATTTGGCGCCGAAGAATCGACCTCACTGAGTTAATATTTTTAGGAATTTAACAATCTCACAAACTTAAATAGTTTAATGATGATGTATGTACCTATTAATATTTTTTTTTTCTCGAATATATAACATTATTCAAAATACTTTGTTTTGTCTTTATGAAAATGTTTTTGTTATCCACGCGACCGCTTTTCATTATGGAGGTCATTGGATCGGATACGGGGCGTAAAGATAATTTTGATTAGCTGTTAATTTTATCTTGTTTAAACAGAAGTATGACCTAAATTTTTTTGCCGTATGGCTCCGGCATAGAATGAGTCGTGCCTTCCTTTCCCGTGGGTGTTATGGGAAGCGAGTAAGCGAATTTAATGGTCGAGGGATGAACAGCAGTCAGCGCTTAATTATTGAAATATTATATATTTTTAAAATATCAATAATTAAAATTATACATAATTTTTATTTATATTATGACATGTAATATTAATATAATTTTAACATTATTTACTGTTTTAATTTTACATTGTGACAAGTGTACTACTGTTTTTTTGTTGGTTTTAATATGTTGCTCTGTGCGTTTAAAATTTATAAAGTAACCACTTATTTTTATTTATTTATTTGCTTATATTTAATTGTTTTAATCGTTCGTGTGTATAAATAATAAAAACATTTTCATAAAGATAATGTACTTTTACATTACATGAAGTACTCTTTTTTTGTATATTGCATGTTATCAGAGAATTACTTGTTCTTCGTTTGAATATATGTTGAATTATGACACAATAAAATTCATCACTCCTTACCCAGCGAATAGTTTCCAAAACGGATGAGATAGGTTGCTTGAAATTATGTTTATTGCAATTATTTTAAAAGGTAACGAACAAGTATATTTATAATTATATATGTGTGTGGATTTCTATAATAAAACATAATTAAAAGACATTTAAAAGAAGTCTGCCTTCTTTCTTTCTTGTAATTTTCTTTTCATACAAGAAAAAAATCGAAATCATATACCCATTGCTCGCGTGACAATTGTAGGCTAAAATTCTGTTATGGGAGAAGATCCATGATTAGCAGTGAGATGTCATTTGCTTATAAACTTATAATTAGTTATATAATTAAGCTTGTTTCACAAAATGAACCGATTGCAATTGTAGCAAAACTAGTCTTGATTTAAAAGCTAAAACTATTAAACCAATTTTGAAAAAAATCTATGGGACCAATCTGTAAGCATATTCTTTTGGACAAAAATAAAATTTTCCGAATCGGTTTTGCAATTAACGAAGTTATAAGGTAACAAACAAAGAAATATATAAGCGAATTGAGAATCTACTTCTTTTTAAAGTCGGTCGAAAATACTTGTAAACATTTCATTTTAAAAAAAAACATTCAAAAATGGATGAAACAAACATACCTTTGTGGCGGCGCTGGTTGCACATGGTTTTCATTTTTCATTCTCCAATTATCATCCGTAGTATTTTGTGGCTGTGAGATTAATGAAACATTTATTTTTTATAAACTGTTACCAGAGGGAGACTTTGTACAAAAGTCGATTGCTTGGGTGCCTCTGTCCCATTCGTGTTTCTACCGTGAAGCAGTTGTGTTTGCATGGCTGTGTTTCGATTTGAAGGGTGGGATATGGCGTGAATTTACTGGGTATTGAGGAATAACACCTGAGTCCTTAGGAATGGCAACGCATGGGGGGGTATCATGGGCGAAACAGTATACTCTGTTATGTTCATGGTACTGCTCATGTCTATAGGCGACGGTTACCACTTTCCATCAGGTGGACTGTCAGATTGTTTGCCATTCTACGTTGTATAAAAAAAAACATTGCTTAGTAAAGCACACATTTCTTTCTATTTTACATACTAACTGCTGAGATAGTTTTAATAATACCTTTTTGTCCTTTCGTACTTCAGGGCTATTCTCGCTTATTTTCAACAAACTTCTCAATAGGTGTGTAGCGTTGTCCTGTCATAGACAAAAGAGTATTTAGCATCACTATGAGTAAATGTTTTGTATATAGTTTTAGTTGGAGGAATAATGCATCAATTATTTTTATTTATTTATTTACATTTTATTGCACCAAGTAAAAAGAGAAATAACAAATACAGTAAATATTAATGAGAAGTGATACAAAAGACGGCCTTATCGCTAAGCAATCTCTTCCAGACAACCTTTGGGTAGAGGACATTGAGAAAAAGACAAAGGGTAGGTGGCGCATTATTATCATATACAAACATATATACATACATACATACACATACATATATAATATATACACAATTAAATACATACATAACATACACATACTTAACAGCACACATACAACAGAACTTAGTACTAACATACAATTAGTACTCAAACTTTGTAATAGTAGGTAGTGGTTGATTAACCACTTAAGCATCTTGAACGAGACCCTCTCGCGCATCAAATGTGTTCCGATTTGCGCTATCCCGATCACCACGACGGTTACCACTTTCCATCAGGTGGGCCGTCAGCTGTTTGCCATTCTAAGTTGTATAAAAAAAAACCTCTCGCCATTTATAAATATTATGTTTACATTTTTATTTGGAGCGATACCTTATCGCCCGTTTGTATTTCATACAGGTTAGTGTATATTTATTGTATGCTCGTTCGAATTTAGTGCGTGCGCCAGTGCGTCAGTTGACCCCATTTCACAGAAAAACCTTCGTATTATGTGGTTAATAAAGCATATTTTGATTAAGTTAATATATTGATTAGGTAACTTAGTGATAGAACTGTATTATAGATGCTTACTAGCGATTGGCTATTCTCCACCTTTGCAGTTGCAGCCGGAGTGACGTTACGAGCGATGTCGCCGGGTGGACTGCGGAAATATTTACACAATTAACAAATGATACTTTGTTCTTCGATGTATGTAAAACAAAATGCAAAAACATATGTAAAACGTGCGTGGACGGAATGGCGGTAGGAGATATCAATCTTCGACCATTAGCCATCAGGCTAATATAAAAGGTTGTAGAACTTCTGGTAATAATAGTAGTCAATCTTCTAGTACTGGACTGTCAATATACTAATGGTAGTAGAATTAAACAAAATAACTATAATGAACTAACCAGGAATGTATATACTTAACTTTATATATGCACACTTTATGATTATTGAAATAATGTTCTGATAGTAAGTAACATTCTACTTTCTTATACAGAATATAATAAAGGAAAAAAAAAAAACAATAAATAAGTTTCCTCAAAAAAAAAGTACATAGAATTCCAAAAAATTATGTTCTTCACATAAATTTTTTATTTTTTTTATTTTTATTAATACCTTTTTTAGTAATGATAAATGGGATAAATGGGAATAAAATAATTACCTATAGCTGGCGAACGCGGAGTGATGTCCGTCTTCCTTCCGCAGCAGGTTGGGCGTGTGATTGAGAGACACTTCGTCACGTTTCATATTCGCACTTTTTGCGACACGCAACTTACGCCCGTACGATATGTTCAACAGGGCGGTTGATTGCATTCTGTACAAGTTATACACATAATTAAGTATGTTTCATTTACTATATAATACATATATACGTATGATAATAGCTGATTCGACAAACGTTTTGCCCTCAGTTGCTATCAACTGGAATTAATTTTTTTTTAGGGTACGATACATCCTATCATTCAAGCCGAATCAAACAATATACAGTGAACGCTCTATATAAGCAACTTCTCTATAATCAACATCATTTATATTTTATTTATTCTACTCAGCTTCGTTAATAAAAGAAATAAGTAAAAATATTTTCCAGACAGTAAGTATTTTTATACTCCTTTTTTCCCTTATAAGCAAATTTTTCCAATAAGATTTTTTTTTATTGAAAGTGTTAAGGTTAAGTTAATGTTTAGACAAAGGAATAAAATACTCGTCTGGCCAGACTGCTACTGAAGATATTTGCTTACAAATACAAACAACGCAACACGTCTATATATAGTCACAAAAATTGATGTAAAAAGTTGTTAACACAGCACACGTGGGGTGTGCCATGTTAACAACTTTTTACAACGCAAACAATATATAAATGGATGGGTTACATCATAACTTAGTATATAGAATACTTTAAGTAATCTATATAGAATCAAATACAGTGGTACCTCGTTATACAAGTGCCTTAATATACGAGTGTTTTGAGATACGACCCTAAAATGTGGGGTGGACGTTGGTGTCTAACAGTTTCTCCCAGTTTAGACTAACACTTAACAAAAACAACTGAGGTGTTTTTTTGGGTGTATGGATTAATGACATTTCAATTAATTTCAATGGGGAAAATTGCTTTGAGATACGAGAAATTTGACATACGACCAAGATTACGGAACGAATTAAACTCGTATGTCGAGGTACCACTGTATACATTTAATATAATGAACTTACATTTGTCGCTTTCAATAATTACTTCGATTATAAATATCCACTATCTATTAATACAGTATTAGTGACACTTAATTAGTATAATTTTACTGTAAAAATGCGACGCACCTGTAAAACCTGGGTTCGTCGAAGAGTTCCTCGGTCATACCACCGGGGAAGGGCTCGTCGAACATGACGAGGTAGCTGGGCTCGGCGTTGAGGCGGTCGGACAGGCGCACGGTGTTGGTGTGGGCGGCGGGGTGCACGCCCACCACGGTGCCCGTCGCGCCGCGCTTCACCGCCATCCGGGGGCTCACGCACACCACGCGGTCCAGCAGCTGGAAGTCCGCCGAGGGGTCCGGCTGGATGTTGCCCTCGTGTAACTCCGGCTGAGGATAAACAAGCCAATTTCGTAAAGACATATTTTTTAAATGCTTTTAAACAGTACTGGGAATAAGCCTTGTGATCGGCCACGAGGCATTCCCAGTATTGGATGATAGCCTACTATGTCCGATAGCTTGTTTTCTTTTTTAAACATAATTGTTGCTTATATCATGGACAACCAAGGGGAGAAGGGATTGTTAGTAATATAGTCTAATAGCCCCATTGCTAGCAATATAGCCCCTCTCAGGTCGACCTCCACGCGGTTCTCTCTGGAAACCATCATGGTTATTTTTTGTCGAATTCATCATGGTAGGCCAACTGACCAGCCTTCATCTTCATCTGTCATCTATCACTGGTTCTCCGTCGGTATATACCGATAGTGCGGACGAGGTTACTATTTCATTATCACCCATTATAAAAAAAAAGAAACTACGGCTGAGGTTAAACCAGCCTATTTCATAAAGACTTCATATTTTTCAAATACTGACAAAATGCAACATAAAACTCATAATTCCATAATTAAATACAATAAGTTTATTTTTATTGCCATATATATTATTGCAATGTCGTATTAATTTATCACATTGCCTTTGGAACGGAACGCAACATTCAATTTTAATATTTTTATAATACTTGATAATGGGGTAGTTAATTACCTTATAGAGCAGGCTCCATTTAACATGCAGCGTAACGCGCTTCTCTGCAGCGGAGAGGCGGCTTAGTTGCGTTTGTAGCTCTTCGTGCAGCGCTTTCATTTCGGTTGGCTCCAGCGATTCCGAGCCGCACTCACGTCGCGCCGCCGATGCATGAGGTTGTTGTTTTATCCATGCTGCTACCTCTTGCGGTTTCTTGTTACTGTATAGATCGTTATCGTAAATAGAAGTACCATAACTATGACTTTATAATAGATCCCTTTTAGACTGGTGAAAATGAATGATAAATCCGGCTACGGTATTATTACTAGTTTACGCTGGCAGGGTACTAGAAAGGGAGGATTAGTAAAGAAAAGCAGGTCAGTGGACCTATAGGAACATATCCACTAAGAATTTTCAACCAAGAATTAATCACGATCGTTTCTAGGTGAAACCATGTAAAAGCCAACCCTATAGGGTATACAACTAACATTGGAACTATTAGTTTCCTAGATAACTAACAATCCTTTACATTGTTAGACAGCCTATTTTTAGAATTAAAATTAACACAAGCTTATTATAAAAAAATATTTATTAAAATTAACACAAGATTAGCTTAACACATAGCTTGTGTATGTGTTTTAATTCTAAAAATGAGAATAAAAAGGGCATAGGTATTATTATTATTCACTAGTACACTGCTAATTTACACCGATAGCATAGGCGGGGTTGCAATTTCATTATAACTTCTGTTTAAAAACAGCTTTTATTGTCTGTAGATCTTATTTGATTTATTTATTAGTACAAATATGTGTACATGGCGGACTTAATGCTAAAAGCATTCTCTCCCAGTCAACCATAAGGAAGTGTCAGAATACTTAAATGCGGTACTAGTAATTATTGATATACATACATACTAAAATTACATATATAAACGAATAAATACATATAAATAACAAATATACTTACACATATATGATATATACTATATTATACACGAAATTGAGAATAATATAAAGTACTATAATAAGTTATAGTTTTTGTCAAGACAAATCAAACGACTCCAAATACGACGGAGTAATTGACATACGAATTCCTATGGTTACCTTCCATCTTCTTCATCACAGTAACTTGAACTTACATAAGTATGTAAAATTTTAGCCTAATTGAACACCAGTAACATTTAAAAAATAGATTAAAAATTTTTAACTGAAAGACTTATATATTACAGCAAGTTAAACAAAAGCTTATAATAATAAACTATATTCAAGACATACTCTTTGATCGGTCTATCTCTTTAAAGATTAAATAGTTCGATACGACCAGTATAAATAACCCAGAAACATCACATACCCAATTTCGCCAGGCCAGAGGTCCCCCTCGAAGAAGATGTCACGTCCAAGTGTCATGGCGAGCCGGTTGAACAGTTCGGGAAAGTTCTGCGCGTACGATTTGACCAGTTCGATGCACCGGTCCGAGTACAACCAAGCGTTCGTCACCTTGCAGCGCCGCGTGAAACCGGTTACCTCCTGGTTCTGTAAGATTAAAGAACTGTTTAAAAGTAATCAAAAAATATTATACGGTATAGGCAGCAGAGTCCCTCTATAAACAATCAAAGCCCAACTGCGGTTACAAACCCCCATGCCAAGCGTGGCAACTACTGGCAAACCCCCCAAGGGGGAGGCCTATGTTCAGCAGCGGACAATTAATGGCTCATAGATAAATTATTTCTTCACCATTACAAGCACATAATTCATGAATTTATAAGCGAAAAAAAAATTGTTGGTCGTTTTGTGTGTCTCTACGGTGTAAAGTCCAACCAACTTCAGCGTTAAACTGCAGAGTACCCGTAGCGCTAATTTTCTTCTGGTGCCTTGTAAAAAAATGAAAATTAACTCCGAACTCCTAATAATTTTCCTAACTTTTCCTAACCTCTTATGTAATCTTGTGTAAAATTAAAAGTGTATGAAGTGTAGTTATATGTATATTATAAATTACAGTGAATCGGGATTTCAAGTAAGTAATATTCAAACAAAGTACAATAATAATAATATTCCATATAATATAGCATTCTTCTTTTCATTTAAGAGTTTCCTCTTGTCGGTGCAACTAAGGAATCTCAACCTCAGGAATGGCAACACTTGGACGTATCATGGGCGAAACAGTATACTCTGTTATGTCCATGGTACTGCTCATGTCTATAGGCGACGTTTACCACTTTCCATCAGGTGGGCTGTCAGCTTGTTGCCATTCTAAGTCGTATAAAAAAAAAAGATAATGACTATTTATAATGATTATGACAATCATAATACATTAGCACATCAATATTGCGAACCACGTTACAACATACAAAAGACAGGCATGCAAATATAGGAAATAAAAAAATAGAGTGGGATGCCAAGAAAATGTGATACATTGCCAAGTGTGTATTTGCATTGTGCATGCAAATACGTAATGCAAGCAAAGGTAACTAGTGGAGGAAATATGATTGCGCCATAGGTATTCATGACCTTGAACGAGAATGCAATAAAAATGAAAATTTGAAATAACAATAGAATGGCGTCATTGAGCCAAAAAAATAGGTGATGTAATTTGCCTAACAAAATATAGGTCTATAGTTAGACCAGCAGTCGGCAACAAGCAGTCCGTGGGCCGCATGTGGCCCATGTCTTATATTGTAAACTAGTGGCCCGTCCTGGCGTCGCACGGGTGGACATTTTACATTTTAAAAAGTGGCCATTAGGTTGCACACGCGACAGAAGCTTAAAAATGGAGGAACTTCTCCAGTTTTCCCAACATTTCCCTTCACTTCTCTGTTCCTATTGATCGTAGCGTGATTAAAAGTATACTACAACCTGCCCAGTAGTATGAAGAATAATTGTTCCAAGTTTCGTTAAAATCTGTCGAGTAGTTTTTGTTTCTATAACGAACATACTGACAGACAGATAAAAATTTTACTGATTGCATTTTTGGCATCAGTATCGATCACTAATCACTGATAAGTTATTTTGGAAATATATTTCATGTACAGAATTGACCTCTCTACAGATTTATTAAGAATATATAGATGAAAGTCTATTAACTAAAATTTTACGTTTATAAGATTTTCTTTTTTATGAATCTTTTTAAATACATTTAATTGTCTTCTTTGAAATTCACATGAAGGTTCATAATTATTTCATGTAATAATCATGCAATTTTTGTAGAAAAAAAATTCCAGTTATACTTGTCTATGGTCAGGGAGAAAGGGATTGTTAGTAATGGAGACTGAGAATCCCATGCTAGTAATATACCCAACCAGGTCGAGCTCCTCACGGTTCCCTCTGAAAACTATAATGGTTAATTCCTGATGAATTCATCATGAACTAACTGGCCTGTTTTCATTTTCATCTATCACCCTTCACTGGTGCTCCGCCGGCGTATCCCGTAGGCGGGGTCACCATACCATTTTCATCCATCAAAAAAAAAATGGTCTATGGTCGTACAGTACCTTTTTGTTGAATTTGAGGTTTAGTCCAATGTTAATCTTGTTCATAGTCTCTGTGGGCAAGTCATTCCGCTCGCCGGTCACCACCAGTACAGTGCCCGTGATGCGTGACAACATTTGTGTCGATATGCCTGCATTATCAATATGAACATATGTTTTATTCAATGTAAGTAAAAAATATAAAAGTGTAATTAATACAAGGATCGTAAATATGGAATCGTTGGCATTTTTTTAAGGAAGTCTGCTATTGAATGGTTTGTTTTTTTATGCAACATAGAATGGCAAACAAGCTGACGGCCCACCTGATGGAAAGTGGTAACCGTCGCTTATAGACATGAGCAGTACCATGGACTTAATTTACAGTTTTCGTGGTCAAGAAAAATCAACAACAATCCCCTTTTTCACAAAAAGTCAGACATCTCAGAAACCTATTTTAGCTATTAAACTGTTTTGTCTCTTTTTTTTAATTAAATTTTCAATTTGAGAGAAAGTGACAAAACAGTGAAATGATTAAAATAATTTTTTAGGTTTTAATTTTTATGAATAAGGGGGCAAGTAATTAAGTCTAGTTTATTATGTCAATGTCAGACATATAAAGTGGTTTCCAGTTCGAGAGAATACTCCATGAATTACAAAACTTTTTTTTTCATATAAATAGAAATTATTAAGAAATACTATGATATCGAGTTGCACTGACGGGCTATAATGTATTGGAGTGCAGTTAATGTAATACAGTATAGTGCAGTGTGATGTAGTGTAGTGCAGTGCAGTTGATATAGTACAATATAATATAATGTGTAGTGCAGTGTAGTGTAATGTATTGTAGTATAGTGCAGTGCAGTGCAGTTGAGTTCAGTGTAGTTTCTTTTAATGGATAATTAATAATGGAATGGTAACCCCACCCGCGCTATCGGTATACACCGGCGGGGCACCAGTGAAGGATGAAAGGTGAGGATGAAGTAGGTCAGTTAGCTCATCGTGACGAATTCAACAAGAATTGTTCATGATGGTTTCCAGTGGGAACCACGTGGAGGTCGACCTAATAAGGCATATTGTTAGCAATGGGGCTGTCAAACTCCATTGCTGACAATCTTTTTTCCCCCCAGATCAGTGTAGTATAGTGAAGTACAGTGCAGTGCAATACCGTGTAGTGTAGTGGTGTATAGTGTAGTATAGTGTAGTGTAGTGTAGTGTGTAGTGTAGTGTAGTGCGCAGTGCGTATGGCGGGTACCGCAGGCGGCGGCGGCGTGGTGCGCGGCGCGGTAGGGCGCGGCGGCGGCGGGCAGCGCCGGCGCGGGCTCGGCGCGCTCCTGCACCTGCACCTTGATGCGGCCGCTGCGGATCGACTCCGAGTCTATCACCTGGGGGCAACGACACTCTCCTTACTGTCCACGAACAATTACACCTACATCAGCCTATTCACACACAGGTACATACTTAAATCACTGTAGGAATAAATTTTCAAAAACAATTGTGACTATTAATCTTAACGGATTCATAAATTTTCAGTACTCATGAATGTGAAATGGTGGAAAGAGTTGATTCGATCAATGATAAAATTGTAGGAACAATGGAATCTGTTGTAAAAGGTACAAAATATCACGTGATTAATATTTTTTATGGGCTAAAATGAAATAGTAACTGCGCCAGCGGTATCAGTACATGCTGGCGGGGCACAAACGAGAGGTGATTGTCTATGAATGACGATGAAGAAGATCAGCTAGTCCAAAAATTTTGAGAATAAGCTTTATAATGAACACGTACTGTGGCCAAGCATCCATAGTACTGTCCAGGGGTGAGGAGGAAAACCGTATCCCCGGAAGGATAAGCCTCCTGCGGCGTGCGGTAGCGGGTGGGCGCACCGTGGAGGTCGACCGCGGCGCGTACCACGGCTTGCAATGCGTAACCGCACGGCACCTGGCACCATTCTGGCTCTATCGCTATCTGGCTGTTGTCCTGAATCAGATATTTGAAACCTGGAAGAATAATACGCTATTAATGGCGCTTTCAAGAAAAATACAATTGCCCTTCTCCATTTAAAATTTGCTTTGTAGAGATCACTTTAGTGACAAAATCGCTTTTATATCTTGATTTATATTTACAAGGTAATATTAAGATATTTAGAATCAACAGTAAAAAGTATATTGTGGGAGAAATATCGCAGTTTTGTGGTAAACATGGTTTGTGAAATATAAAAAAAAAACTTGATTGAATATATAAAATCATGAAACATTCGATGTTCATTACTGAAAAGTTAATAAATATAAACTTACCCCTAAGATTAACTGCATGTATAATAATTTTCACTTCTCCCAATTCAATACCAAGTCGATTCAAATTGCTGAAAATAAATAAATAGTTATTAATTTAAATATTAATGTTACTATTAACTTTATAGTTTCGAATATTTAATTAGTATAGGGAGAATCACTTATTTCTAATAAAAATAAAATGTCGCGCGTCGATGCTGTATGCGTTGTGATGCATATGTGCAAGACAACAACATCTGAAAAATTCGTCCATAATTCAATTCGTGGCATTCTATAAAAATGGTGTAAAGAGAGCCTTTTTCAGGGTCGGCGACAAAAAGCCTGGTAATGCAGGCATTCACAGATTATGGTACCCGTTACTTACAATGTGGGCCGGATGCTTATTTGCCACCCTTGCTTGTTGCGCTAAATTAGAATACTGATTTACATGGTCGCAGCCGCGGGATACAGCTAGTCATTCATAATTATTTTAACATGTTTTAAATAATGTTTATATTATTTAGTGTCACAAAAAGAACTAGAAGTTCACATAATTACAGTGATACTCATAGTTAGGTGATACCAGGGCCGTGCCTGACGGGCGTTCATTGCGCGCACCGCACGCAGGCGGCCGAAATTAAGAGGCGGCCAAATCGTTACAAGTTGTTTACTGGGCCGATTTCGGTTAACCAAAAACTGATTTTTTCCCGGTTTGATGCCCTGTGTATAATAATAAACATTAAAAATTAAAGTAGTTTTTTTTAATGTTATCCTGGGGGCGGCCATACAGACTGGCACGCAGGCGGCCATATACCCAGGCACGGCCCTGGGTGATACTCACTGTTCGATGATGGTGGACCGCTCGGATATCCACTGAGTACGCAGGTTGCCGGTGTTCGGTTCCGTGGTATAATTCGGCGCGCCCACATTATTGTTCCGTTTGTCCACGTAGTGCAATCGTTTGGACTCATTGGATACCGCTATTACTCTATAAATAGAAGATTAATCAATAAAATATTTACTGATAATTTTAATGTGTATAAGTCATAATAGACTAGATAACCTGCTTGCATCCTCATCTTTCATCTCTCACTGGTGCCCCGCCAGCATATACGAGTAAAAAAAATACTTATCATAGTGAAGAATACTGAAGCGGTGTCTACTAGTTAGCGGAATAAAATAGGTGTGTACTTAACGCTATTTATTTCCAGACAGGAGACTGCAATAAAAATATGTACCCACACAAAAAGCAATATAAAAATAAGTATGAAACTACCTCCATACATTACACATAGATCGCACATGTTGAGTGAAATACTTACCGAAAATACATATTAATTATGATATCGATGTTATATTTTTACGTAGTTTTTTTTATGCAACTTAGAATGCCAAACAAACTGACGGTCCACCTGATGGAAAGTGGTAACCGTCGCCTATAGACATGAGCAGTACCATGGATATAACAGAGTATACTGTTTCGCCCATGATACATTCCATGTGTTACCATTTCTGAGGATTCAGGTGTCATTCCTGTACCGTGTAAATTCACTGCCATATCCCACCCTTCAAACCAAAATATAACCATGCAAACACAAGTGCTTCATGGTAAAAACAGGAATGGGACAGAGGTGCCCAAGCAAATGATTGTTGTACAGTCTCCGTCTGGTATGTTTATGTCTAGTTTGTAAGAATACCTTTAAGAATCTTTTAAAATTATTATCAAATAAAATAATCTTTTTTTTATTATATATATTATAACGTTTTAGAACACTTACTTTGCCCGCGTGAGATGAGGCCAACCAACCCATATTACTTTGCCCAAGTACTCCTTTGCCACTACTTCTAAGGACTCTTCAAGAGGCTTTTCTGGTGTTAGCTCAATCATCATGTTTTCATTTCGGGATGGCTGATCGAATACTTTCACTTTGCACTTTTTAAGAGATGCCTGAAAAAAAAATTATAATATTTTTTTTTTGTGAAAAACTAAATACTTGTAGGAATAAATTATACTATTATAACTGATTATAAATATATCGACATTTAGGGTCTGTATACATCAGAATTTCCTTCGCGTCTCGCTTGTAATTTAACAAGTCAGAAACAGATCAGTATATTGCAGTGTAAATAACTGTAACTAAGTTACTTATTGTAAATTACAAAATTTTTATATATAACCAATAATAATGCTCTTGGCCTATATACAGCCTTACAAGGCTTACAAAAGAAAAAATCTATTTCATAATTTAAGAACTATTAAAAGAAAATAAAGAGATAAAAGAAAGTAGTAATGCAGCCTACATTTTTTTTGTAATTTTTTTTTATATATTAGCAATAGATCATGGACAACCGCACCTTATACTTGAGGTGCCTCATGGTGGGGAACCCTGGAAACAGCAGGTCTCTCCTGGCGTTGGGCAGCATGCCACGCCGCAGTTGGTCTTCCGGCACGGCCAACTCATGCCGCCAAACACACCGCTCGCTCGCGTGATTATTGGTCACGCGCGGGAAGTACTTGGGCGCTTCTGCTACTCCTGAATAAACAAGTATACCTGTACAACACTTGCTTCAATAGCATTGCACTTACTAATTGTACGATATTATTCTCCATTTAGTTATTTACTTTACACTTAACTTGTTTCATCATCATCATCATCATATTCTTTAACTGTCCACTGCTGAACTTAGGACTCCTCCATGGGGGTATATTTCCAGTAGTTTCCCCGCTTGGCAGACGGATTGGCAACCGCAATTAAGCTTTGGAGATGTTTTAGAGGGTTGCTGCTGTTCATCACTCGAGCTCTCTTAGTAGACTCTTACAATACTCACGGAAAAAGAAGGTGTGGCCCATTCTATGCCGGGACCTCACGGCAAACTTAACTTGCTTAATTATATTGAATAACATATATAAATAACTAAATATACTTAACCTGTACGCATTTATAGCACAAAAGTATTTATAAATATCGCATAAGCAAAACCTCATATTTCTTAGTTGCTGTTATCATGAGAAATACTTCAAGTAAAATCTATATAAATGATGAAAAACCTAAATTTCAATTAGTGAAAGACATTAGTCTGCTTACCCCTATTTATTATATATTTATTTGTTTAAGTGCATGCATAAACTATACATGCACTTAAACAAATAAATATCTTAAGATTTTAAAGTACCAACCAGTTTGCTGCAATAAAAGTAAATCTTGAGAAGAATGATAGATTACCTAGACTTTCAGGTGTCCAGTTATAGACGAGCATAGGTCCATGTGAATTCCGTTTCAGCTCTTCATCCGTCAGCCGTTGATAGCAGGGCGCCATGGCCGACAACAAATTTGTCTAAAATTAATAAAGACTAGTTACTTGAATGTTTAAATGCATCTTTTTTTTTTTTTAATGAATGTAGTGCCATGTACAAAATTGACCGACTAAAACCGTCTTCCCGCCTTTTCTATTCATAGTCATTCGAAATTCAAAAATCCAACATTCTAAATTTAAAGGTCGTGAAATGCATGTTACCTCGTCGATAAATGGTATGAGCACGACCGCCTCCCAGTCATTGCGCTTCCCGTTAAGATCGGTTTCAAAGTTGAGCGGGTAGTAGTGTACGATGGGCGAGTCTTCGTCCGTCATGAGATCGTGGAACGGCGTCGGAAGCAAGTGCTTACTAGCCGCCGGCAATACTGCTAATAACTAAAAGAAAAAAAAACTTTTTATACAACTTGGAACAATACTATGGACTGTATATTCTAGTTATCTTTATCTGTCTTTATGACGAATTGAAAAACAATAGCTTAATACAACAAAGAAGTTGACGGTCTCTGGATTAGAGTGATAACCATCGGCTTCTGGGGGAAAGGGATTGTCAGTAATGGGGTCAAATAACCCCATTACTAAAAATATACTCTGTCAGGTCAACCACCACGTGGTCCCCGGACGTTGGAAACCATCATGGTTAATTCTATTTGAATTTGTCAGGATGAGCTAACTGACTTGCTTTCATCCTCATCTCTCATTTCTCACTCGTGCCACGGCAGTGTATACCGATAGCGCAGGCGGGATTACCATACCATTATCACTCAATAAAAAAAAACCATAGCCTTTTAAATATATAAAAATTCAATGGCGTGATGTTCGTTTACGTTAATCTTCAGAACCATATGTTCATGTACCATGTAAAAACTACAAAACAGGTTATGATGATATTGTAAATGGTATGGCGATAACTCAGTATTTAGTCAACATTCTATACGTATTTTTACTCAGACAAGATGTCTCATACCGATAAGAACATTCACAGTAAATTTTAGTGCATTTTTACATTATAATAGATAGCTAACAAAAATCTCGTACTATTTATCTCTTATAAATCTATCAATATATTAAATCTATTTTTTTTGTTGAAGTAACATATTCTAAATGTGCAATTTACCTGTTCAAAAGGTTTGAAAGGCTCTCCCAATTCGAATTCAATCTTCAAGTCCTTAAATCCCTTAATATCTGATATATAGGGCGCATAGTGATGTGGATAGTACCAACACCAGGATGGGCAGCCCTTGTAATAGTAAAACAAGTTCCACTGTATTGCCCTTACATAGCCCTCGGCTTGGTCTGCTAAAACTTCACTGTAATTAACATGTTTTAGTTAAATTTTTTTTCATAAAAATTTAATAAGAGGGATTTTCAACTTATAATCTCTGAATTTTCATACTATTTGGATTATTTAAAAAATATGTTATATATTATTATTATAATTTAAACAATCATTTGTTCAGCCAAACGAGAATAGTCTTCATAAAATACTATGTTCTCACATCACATTTGTTGCAGGAGCGTAAAAAATAAGGGTGATTCGATGTAAACCATTTACCCTAGCTTGAATTATATTTTCTCCCAGATAAGAAATATACTAATACCCAAAAAATAGATACATGTACACCCTTTTAAATAAAAAGAAATTATTACTGGCTAGTTAATTAGACCTTTTATAATTACACAGCTCGCCATCGACAAGGAATTCATCCTCATACGATTGAACTTAAATAGTCACATACAGTGCGGTTTCAAAGGAGTTTCCTCCAGCGAACGCTAAGGCTGTGGAATGAGCCCCTCCCTGACGAGTTTTTGCCTAGAGACTACAGTATGAAGTTCTTTAAAAAGGATGTATTAAGGTTTTTTCAGGGGTTCATGTACGTGACAGCCCTAGTGTTGCAGTCATTCATAAGGTACAGTTAGCATTTACGATAAAACAGGTTTTTAAGCTGGTTTGCCACATTTATAAAAAAAAAAAATTGCAAGTATACAATATACAATAGCAAATATTATTATTACAAAATAAATAATAATTATTATAAAATATTTGATTCATAGATATTTTAAGGTAACAATGAACTTACTCTGTAACTTTGGAGTAGTCTAACTTATTCATATAATAATCCCGTTTGTGTAATCTGAATTCTGTTTCCATATTGGCTTCCTCTGTGAAAGAACAGGAATAATTAGGTTATATTAATAAAATATATGAAAACAATACCCAAAAATAGTAGACACTATACTAACTAAAATGAACACTGTCTCTAAATATTACATAAACCGCTGAATAAAAATAGTTTTTTTTTTATACAACTTAGAATGGCAAACAAGCTGACGGCCCACCTGATGGAAAGTGGTAACCGTCGCCTATAGACATGAGCAGCACCATGGACATAACAGAGTATACTGTTTCGCCCATGCGTTGCCATTCCTGAGGACTCACGTGTTATTCCTCTGTACCCTGTAAATTTACGCCATATCCCACCCTTCAAACCGAAAAACAGCCATGCAAACACAACTGCTTCACGGTTGAAACACGAATGTGACAGAGGTCAAGCAATCGACTTTTGTACAAAGTCTCCCTCTGGTAATGTAATGTTACCATCATTGTCATTAATATCAACATTAGTTTTCCACAAAATATTTTTATAATGTTTTATTGTTTGTCAAATATTACGGTAGTAATAAATCACAGTGAACAATACCATCACTTGTTTCTTCATATTCGTCTTCTTCACATTCTTCCTCGTCTATGAACTGAAAATAAATATTAATATTATTCAATTTACATTACTCCTGGCTTGAAACAAAAACAAAAAAAAAAAACAACCAGTAGATTATGCATCGCTACAATATAGAAGTGTATTATGTGTTTACTAAAATTTTCTTTCATTTAGATAGATAGATACTCTTTATTGTTTCCTCCAAAAGATTACAGTAGTTAATTTATTATAGATATAAACAATTACAAGAAATGATTACACTGAGCAAACAATAACCGGCCTAATAGATGAAAGCGATCTCTTACGAATAGTAATTATAAACAGTTTTATTTGTGTTTAGATATATTTTCTTTGACATAATGTTTTAACCCTTCTTTGCATGATTTTTTTATTGGTAAAATAAATCAAGGTGATATAATTCATGTTCAAAATTAAAGGAAAAACGGTTATAAAAATCAATTAGACAAATATGTTTTTTTTTTACTGCAATGCACATTAAAAAGGTATCCAGACACGATCAAGTTTAATTGTTCTTTTTTATAATTTTATGGCATTCAGTGTTATGATGGAATTTTCCACCATTATGCAAAGAAGGGTTAAAAAAGACAGAATGACAATAACAAATACTACAACATTTTTTAAATATTTTCTAAAATTCATTTTTATTTTATGACTAGCTTTTACACGTGTTTTCGTCCACGCGATCGAAATATGTTCATTGACAGGGATAAAAAGTAACCTATATCATTTTCCATTCTATATGATTTATATGTACTAAATTTCAGTGATTGGTTTGGCCATTAAGGTGCTATGGATGTAATAATCAAACTCGCTTTCACATTTATAATATTAGTAAGTATTATCAATGGAAACTAATAAAAATTCCACTTACCATGTCCTCCGTAGCATTGATTAGTGCTTGTAATTCATCATCGGGCTTATTTGATTTTATATCTTCAATATTCACATTAAATGTCTCGTCATTGTTAGGTTTATACTGGAATGTTTATAAAATACATTACTAATAGTTTGAAGCATAGATGTATAACATAGATAAAAACGAGACAAGAAAATGATTGCACTAGTATGTTTTGTATATGTGTTTAATTATAAACGTGGCAGATCTATATTTGTATGGAATTGAAGTTGCAATAATTCTCGTATTTGATATAATTTAAATTTCGATTCGGGGAGGTTCTGAACTTTATTTGGATGAAATTTGATATTTTTTTCTACCAATTCTTGTACAAAATATTTCTGATTATTCTAGAATATTGTGTTTAAAATTATAAATATTTACAGTGTAATTATATGAAAAATATGCAATTTTGTAATTTATTACACTTTTTATTTTAAGTAAACAGTTCAGGTATATATTGTTATAATATCAGTATAGATAAATTTGAAAATTGAGAGGTTTAAACTAGAATTTGCTTTAAGATAAGCAAGCCATAGAGAAAACAATTTATTTGACATCAAACAATTGTCTCTTACCTCTCGTCTCTCCATAGCATTGGGCCTCCTGCCTGTTTTGCCCTCGAAATATTTTAAATCTGTATATACATCCTGAAACTTCTCCTTGTCGATTTTAGCTAACTCCTGCATGAATATCTCGAACCTTCCTAAATTCAAGTCACCTGCTTCATTAATGTAGCCTGAAATATAGAAAACAATTATATTTTAAAATTAACTTTTGTTTGTATAAATGATTGGAATATTTTTTATCAATGTTGAAATTTATATGTAAATATATATATTGTAATTTTTTTTATATAAAATTAGTCTTAAACTTATATAGAAAACTCTATTTTTTTTATCTAAAAGGATATATATATAGATTGGTTCCATATAAATTTTTAAAACTTGGTTCAGGAGTTTAGTTTTTAAATAAAAATATGCCTGGTGCCACAATTAAAGTCAGTATTTTTTTTCGTGGAACACTATTTTAAATTATTAAGTCAGACCTTTAGAAAGACAACTGTAAAAACTATGTATATTAGCTTTTGTGTGAAGCTGGAACAAACATACAAAGTGACGGACAAAATAAAAAAAAAAATGTTTCGGCTTTTATTAAAAAAAATCTTAAATACTCCACATGTACAGAAATTGTGTACTTACAAATTTTTATCATTTTCTAAAATTTATAAGTAAGATAGTTACCATCTAAAGTCGGCAATACGGTCATGTACGTTTTGTACAAGAGGGGCAACGCATCATTACTTATATGCATGTGAGGTAGATGCGGTATAAAGTCATTTCCCACTAAGAAACCCATCAATACCCAGTCATCCACAATTTTCTCTATATCATACTCAAAAGGTAGATTATTTTTAATCGATATAAATTCTTGTTCTAGATATTCCCTAAGTAGTGACAGATGGAGAAGATAGAAGTTCGTCTCTTCAGGACTAGTAGCTCGTTGTGTGGTTTTACCGAATTTTACCTGAAAGAAATAATTATTACTGACATTCAATACTTTTTTTTTATTTTATAATCAAAATATCAACTTAAAAAATTCTTCAATCTCTGCCTAATGTTTAATTTAATACATTTCTTTTATATTTCGCTCTCAAAAACACAGTATAGCTCAAATAAAGGATAAAAAATATTGTCAGTTTCGAAAAATTTATAAACAATGACCATCACTGTTGGTACAGTCATTTAATACATTTTCTAATTTCAACACAATCCAAGCATTTATATTAATGAGTAAGTCCACCTAAGGGTTTTAAATATATAGCATGTTAATTAACATTATCCATTCCTTGGTGTTATCATCATCACCATGTCAGTCTTTAACCGTCCACTGCTGAACATAAGTCTCCTCCATAAGGAGGGTTTTGCCAGTAGTTGCCACGCTTGGCAAGCAAATTGGCAACCAGAAAGGTTTTTAAGGCTATTAAAAGCTGTTATAGTATTCATTAAGAGGACCTTAATTATTTTATTAATTATTATTTTTTTGATTTCGCTTCACTTCTTTTTATTAATTTTTGGTAATATTATATAAAAAAAATCTGCAAGATTTTTTTAAGACTCAATTAATGAATACTAGCGCTAGTTTTAAGAAATGGGTTATTGTAGTTATCATACTGCATACTATATGAATGTATTTACGAAAAACTAAGTATTTAGAAATATCCATTAATTGTCTAGTACCTAATGTTTAATAGTAGCAGTAAAGTCTGTTTAGTTTGAAATATTTGGCGATCTTTTTTATAACCAAGAGTGTTTATTTAAATATTATGAGTATATCAGTATAAATAACGAAGTTAATGATAAAGAAACTTTAAGTTATTTCTACAAGTATATTCTACCAAACTAAATAATTACCTCCTCTCTTAAGAGAGCGAAGTGTGGCTCGTGAGTGCACATGCCTAACATGATAAGATCAGCATCTAGTCCGTACAGGCAATGCCGAGTGTTCGGATCATAGTCGGGCTGCGAGCGTGCCCATCGAATGTAATCCATGATCTTATGTTCACCTTCTCCTGGTGTCTGAAATAAGTATTATCATATTTTATATGAATAATAATATGAATATACAATTGTAGATTCTAAATTACTATATACATATATATGTTACACATTTCAGGAGGCTCAAGCTAAACATTCCTACCATCAGATCTTTCTTTGCCCACCATTTTGGTGCATTTGCATTTCCGTCAATGTACTATAAAATTAACAAAGTGTGACCAGTGATAGTCCAGGTTCACATATTATGAAACACAAATTAAATAATTATCTTTTATCACTATGTTACGAGGCAACTGAGAAACTGTGGTCTGGAAAGTAATAACATACAGTACACAATCTTTCAAATGGATTACACAACACACATTCACACATACTCATGAACATTCCCACATTCATTTACTTAACTTCACTTCTCTTAAGGGCAAATATTATTAGTGTTTTATAATTGCCTATGTATTTATATTGTTGATTATAAGTTCTATTTAAAACAGAATATAGTTTACAAATAATTCACAAATTCTCACCTCATGCCCAGATAGAATAACTTTAACTTTGGACCAGAGTGGATCCGTAGACATCTTGTGTTTAACAAAATATTTGAGCTGCTCATGTAGACGGACCATAAATGCTGTACCCGGTGTGATACAGTTGCTATCAAAGCGCTTCTCCGTTGGCAAGACCTCACCTTAAAATATGCAGACTCATATTAATAATTATTATCCATATTATACTATTTCTCAACATGTTTGTACTCGTATGCATGTCTGTACATAGAATATGTGAACAATAAAAATGTTTATTGGCTATTCATAAAGTAACACTTTAGAAGAGTATATCTGCCCTTAGTGTCTCTGTACATTTATACTTGGTAAAAATGCTATGCATGAATTAAGAATAATTTTGCTAATGCATTCAATTTGAATTACTATACTTAATAATGATAATAATAAATATTAATTAACAAAATGCATTTAAAAAAACAGCAGTTATAAGTTCTTGCAGGAGACAAATAACTACAATTATGGTAACAATAGAAATTTTTTTTTTACTTATTATAAATCCATATTTAAGAATGCAATGTAAACATATAGAAACATGAAACTTACCTTTAGCAATAGCTTCTTCTTCTAATTTTTCCGCCTCACGGGCAGACCTAAACCTGCAGGATGAAATTAATTAGTAAATAGATAAGAAAGAAACAAACAACACCATACAAAGATAGTGTAATGAAATATGAATCACATTATTCCGTTAAACAAATAAATATTCATATCATATTTATTATATTATTTCTATAATATATTCATATTTAGTTTTATTTACTAAGATTTATCAAAACACAAATTCATACCTTTTTCTATTTTTTAATTTTAGAGATAAGTTTATAAAAATGGTGCCTCAGAATCGACCCTATTTCATTACCATACTATATATAAATTGTCATAATCATCATTTCTTATTAAAATGAATTATAATCTAAGAATTTATATAACGAAATTATATCAATGATTATTTTATTTAACAACAACTTCAAAGATACACAAGAGTGTAAGTTGAGACTGTGTCGCAAAGCGCTAAACATCTCCTAATACTACTTCCAGGTGAAGTTGAAACAATTGTTGGAAATTATAAAACACAGAAAGTTTATTCTCCCGCATTTAAAAAAACAATTTATAAAGATTAACATAAGCTTTAAAAATTATTTTGTATGTATTACATTTTGTAACTACAGCAAACAGTTTTAACTGATTATAAACAATGAAGCCTACACAATAGATATATGTGTATAAAACTGTTAACAGTGTAAATTGATATCATACAAAAAATGTTTTCAAGTTTGACTTATAGCTTAAAAAAAAAAGAACTTACACAAAAAAAAAGTTGAAAAATACCTTAATTACTAAAGAAAATTTACATTGTTCAACATGATAACAATAAAAATAATAGCAGCTGTAAATATTCATATAAAGGATATGTTTATCTTTAAAAGAAATTAAGCATAAGTATCAATTTTATTAGTCCAAAAATTACATTGAAATATCCAGCAAGTAATATTCAGTGTTTTACATATACACATGAATGCATATTACTAGAAATATGTAGCATTTTTTTAATATAATAATTTTATAACATACCTTCTACCTCTCTGTTGATTCATCTTCGCTCTTGGAGCTACTCCATCGATAGCCATAAAGAACAATTTCTTGGGTTTGATAATTTGAAATAATGTTCCAAGATAATGGAATATGTCCTTAAATATCTTCTCCTCGGTGATACGAAAGTGAGGGTTCGAGTCATCAGGGTGAGAGCAATTGTGAATGATCCCATTCATGTCTAAATACATATTGTCGAAATCTGGTATCTATAAAAAAATATGTTATAAATTAGCATTTGCACATTTTTAATTTTGTGCACATGAAATTTAATAAACTAGTACAATGCATTTTCAATATGTTAATTCCATAAGATAAATACCTGATATTGCTTCACCAATTCATTAAGACAGGGATATCTTTCACTAGTATATCTAAAGAACTTCGGAACACCCATTTTATTTTGATAATTTACGAATTATTTACAGAAATATAGAGCACAGTATAGGTTTCTTGATTAAAGACCCAAAACCTACAATAACCTCGACGGCCAACTAAAACTTTTGCATTATTATATTAAGAATACGTAATTATTGTGTTTAGATGGATTTTATTACTTCCACGTTGCCGTGGCTATGTAAGAATTTGAAATTTAATCCAATATGAATTTTTTCCAACAACCTACATTATTGAAATTGTCGAAACGTAAATTAAATAAACAGTACTGCCAATATGGTAAAACTCTATGTCATTTAGTGTTTGATCAGCCGAATTCAAAAAAGAGCTGTAAAAGTAAATTATATCTGGCTAAATTAACAAATAAATAATGCCTTTACACTATTGGATATAATAAAATAGTGAAGTAGGTTAACAGTTTTTAATAAAATTGCTTATTTTTTTATTATTCCTATTAATATAATAAAATTATAACTCAAAGATATCTGTCCGTAGAGGATACTTAAAAAAATTGTCATGAAGGATCTTAATAAAAGCATTAGAAGCAAAAATAATTAATTTTAGAATTTTTGTCTGTCTTTCTGTCTGTTTGTTTTGACATCACGCAAAAACTACTGTACCAGATTGGCTGCGGTTTTATAGTAGTGTCCCTGAAATTCTAACTTATCTGGTGTTTATCTTGATACATCATTTAAACAAAATTACCTGCTTTCATAATCGTAATCTACGCGTATGAAGTTACAAGCACAAGATAATTCCATTATTATACTAAACTAAACATTATATATATAATTATTAAAATAGAACGGAATAAATAATAAATTACTATACTAAATAAAATAATTTATCTAAGTTGTCTACTTTACATTTTTAAAAACTCTATGTTTTTACGCTGTAGATATGTAAATAAAAAACAATGAGAAAAAAAAAAATACGAAATGATATTTTGTCCGTTATATTCATATATAACAGACACAAAGTTAATATATATAAAACGGTAACTTGTAAGTCATTAAAGCTATTGACAGTTTAATACAAATTGAAGGCAACGAAACAATAAAACTTCATTCAAACTATCTTAGTAGGCAACGAAATTTAACAGCAAGCAAGTCATTTTAGAAATAAAAGTCTACAGTTGAGGTACAGATACATTAATCTGCAAAATAATTCACATCTACATTATTGACGTAGTTAGAATTAGTATGTACCAATAATTATAATTAAAAATACAAAATTATTAAGAACCCCGTTACCTCTGTAATAAAATGCGAACTCGCTTTTCAATAATGTATATTTTTTTATGTAATGATTAAATACGATTAAATATATAAAAATAGCTAGACAAGCACGAGAAGAATTAATGGCAACCCAAAAAAGCCGAGGCCAAAGAACTATTAATAAAAAGAAGCCGGAAGAAATAAATAAAATATTTGGCAACTGCAATTTTTTTAGTTATAGTGGTGTCTAAAAGGGTAATAATTAATATATTTTTTATTTGATAATAATTATACTAAACTTTAATAAATGCTGTTTTGTTATTTTCACTGCGAGTGTTGCTTGATATTTGGATAGTTTCGGATTATTATTCAATTATTAAAATCAGTGTGTTCTTATATTATTATTTAGTAATTTAGCACAAAATTTTCTAATATTTGTTCAAATGTTTTAAAATTAGATTTTAGCCAAAATTTATCCTGAGTAATTAAAATCAATTAATTGTGTCTAGAGTTGGCAATACTGTTCAGCAATCAATGTCAAACAATTTCAGTCAGTCAATCGTTTTATCATTTAGTTTCTTTAGACATAGTGTGTATAGTGTCTTGAATTTACATTTCATTTTACATTTTAATAACAATTTGTCTAATTTACCTATGAGGAATATATATATTTTTATCTTTCGAGTTCAGTGTCGGAAATAATTTATTATTAATTAATTATCGAGAACGAAAAACATAAATTCAACAATTCTGTCAATATATTTGTGGTTTTGGTGGCCTCAGGGTTTTATTATAAAATTTTAAATTATAGATAAAACATGGAAAACGATGAAATTGGCACAGATTTGGTCAGATTAGACAATGGATTTCTTGTAGAAGAAGATAGTTATGTAGTCCACTCTGATGATGTCCTAGGTAATTTAGTTTTAAAAATGTAAATTTTACTACCAGAGCTGTAACTACTGTATCTGTCTTTGTTCTTTGTTCCATATATTGGTTGTAAAATAAAAGAAATGTTATGAGTAGTGACATGTACAATAATAATTCAGCATAAAAATGTGTGCACATTGTTTTTTTTTTTTTTTAATTTAAATTAATGAAATATATTTTTACAGACTTATATTTAAACTATACTTAAACAATTAGGTAGGTATTCCATTTTATTAAACTTTATTGCATATGTTTTCAGAGGAAGAAAATAATTCTGATTCCAATGGTGCAGGTAAACCCCTGAGGGAACAGGATCGTTTCTTACCTATTGCTAATATTGCTAAAATTATGAAAAGAGCAATACCAGAAAATGGAAAGGTAATAACAAAATTCTAAAAATCATTGTTTTGGGTTCTATTGCATTCATAAAGCTTCTATTATAATTTTTCTTATAAATCTATGTATAGACAGTGACCAATTACCATTTAATTATATGTATTGATATAGTTTTTATTTTTATTATATTTCATTGTTAATAGAAGTTTCTACTCTATTTATAGATAGCTAAAGATGCAAGGGAATGTGTACAGGAGTGTATATCAGAATTTATATCATTTGTGACAAGTGAGGCAAGTGACAGGTGCCAGGTTGAAAAACGTAAGACAATCAATGGTGAAGATGTCTTGTTTGCATTGAACACACTTGGCTTTGATAACTATGTTGAACCTTTAAAATTGTATTTGAAGAAATTTAGAGAAATGGCCCTTTCGCCGGTAAGCTCATCTAAACATATTTTTTTATAAGACTGAAAGTAGTAAACAAGCTGATAGTCCCCTTGTATGGAAGTTACAACACATGCTCATAGACATAAATAATATTAAGAATATCATGATAATACATTGCACTTTCTTCTTTTGGCAACTCTTAAAAGCCACAAATACACAAATTTTTGTATTGGTGGCTATAGTATGGGGTTTATCAAAGAGATTGTATATATACAATCTCTTTGAAAAACCCCATACTATGTTGTAGGCTCGGCAACTCGCATGCTAGTGTTGCAGGCATCTATAGGTCACAGTGACTGTTCACTGTCAGATGGGCTGTATGTTTACTACCTTTGTGGTATAAAAAAAGCTATTATTATATCTTTAAGTTAGTATGTTTTATTAATATTTTATTATATAAATCACCTATTTAACTGTCTGCTGCTGAACATAAGTCTCCTCTGTAAGGGGGTCATGCCACACTTGACAAGTTGGCAACCACAGGCTTATGATGATGTTTTAAGTGGGATGCTGCTGCCCATCCCTCGACCATATAGTTCCCTTAGTGACCTCTTATGAAACCCATGAAAAGAAAGGCATTATGTGCTGGGATCACACATCCACTATATGAGTATTATAAGTTAATTCAATAATCAGTCTATTAATAATAAGTTACTTATAGTAATGTTACCATAAACCATGAGCATAAAGCTTACAATTTTAGAAAGAATTGTGATATATAGCTTAGTAAAACATACAGGTAGAAATCAGTCATAAACATTGTCCAGAGAGTAAGATTTACTGTTTTTCAAAATATATTTCTTATTTATTACTTACTTAACATTATGAATGTTAGTGTCTGTTCTTTGTTACTCCTTATTAATAGGGTCACTATTAATAAGGACTAGCACGGACTCCTATCTACAAGGTATATTTTTTTTAAATAATATTTTTTCTAAAACAAAAGTGTTAGTTCAAGACCTACAGAATCCTTTGCCACTTATTCGGTAGAGGGAAGGGGCTGGTTTAAAAAAAAAATTAGTGTACTATAGAAAAAATTGCCTTAGTTCGATCTGTGTTATTATTTCATAGTTATTCAGTTTTGTATACTTACAGAATTCTGTTGTTCCTCCAGGTCACAATCAATAAGCTGAATAAGACGATTGTTGTATATGGGGGTAAGTTTTTAAATCCTGTTATTTAGTTTGTTAACTTCTATTTATCGTTTAGTCTTTGTAAAATAATAATTATTAATTTATAGTTTGTACCCTCGTGTGTTACCATAATATAGATAACTTTGTAGTTCTTTAAAATTATATTATTAAAATACAAGCAACTAGCGATCTGACCGGGCTTCGCACGGTGAGATAGAATTTTCGAACGCAATATATAGCATATGATGTTCAAAGATAATGTAACTTTCACTAGGTAAAAAATATGTATAGTTGGTAAAAACTGGAATTTGCTGAATTTTTAAAATCGGTAAAATAGTTTTTGAGTTTATCCATTATAAAAAAAATAATGAAATTTTTAATATTCATCAGTCATTAGATTTGGCTCAGACTATATTATGCATTTATAGACAAAAACAGCAGAAAAAAGACTTCACAAGACTAAATTCCAAATCTAAAAAACAAAAAATTGTTTAAATATACTCTTTAAACCCACATATATTTTGTTGTACTCACTGATTATGTAGATTAAGTTAAAATAAAATAATAAATCTAAATTATACTTATTTAAATAAGTTCTGAAACCACAATTTCAGATTTGATAGGAGTAGTATAATCTTTAATTCACAGTACAGTTTTAGTTAGCAAATACATTTTCATTACAGAGGACGGCACATCGTGCGTTGCAGCGGAAAATGAGAATGAATCGCAGACGGAAACCACCGTAATATACACCTATCCAAAAGTGATCGGGGACTTTACAATCACATAAAATGCCATCAAATATTGGCTAAAATATATTAAGTACGTGACTGTGTGGAACTATAGTGACTGGTGATGTTTCATAGAATAGAAGAGACTGTGTCCGCTACTCGTTGCTGCAATGTGTCAATTTCTCTAATGTTTATTAAAGTCGTTTATAAGATTTAATGTTTTATTATTTAAAAGTTTAGCTCATATGAGTATGCCTTTTTGTATTGGTCTTGGTGCTTTCTATGTATTACATAATAGGAATAATATAGGCCACCCTTTCCTTTCCCGTGGATGTCGTAAGAGGTGAATAAAGGATTTAATGCTCGAAGGATGGGCAATAGCGTTCCTTTTTAGACATCAAAGCCTAATTGCGGTAATTGCCAAGCGTGGTAACTATTGGTAAAAACCCCTTTATATATATGTAATATATATAGAGGAGGTCTAGGTAGGAGGAAATACTGATACAATAATAAAAATATATAAATATATTCCGCAGCGACATCTAGATAAGATTTAAGGTACAACTAAGCTTTTTTCAATGAGTACTAGACAACAGATATACTTAAATCTATGTATATTTAATTAACGATCAATTTTTATGGACGACCAACTGTTAGCAGCGACATAGTCTGCGTGACCGGGATATATTTACTAATCGATATAAAAAGTAGCTTTTATTCTTCTCTATCCCATATGTATGGCAAATTTTAATAATGATTGATTTAGTCGTTAAAGCGCTCTAAGGTAACAAACAAACATACTTCCACATTTATAATATTAGTAAGGGGGCAACACAGCAAAATCTTCAATATAAACATATATGAATAAGATTGTATTAGGTATGAGGTGATTGAACGTGCAATCATCAGAAATTAAATCGTTACACAAAGGACATCGTAGAAAAAAAAAGTAAGTAGACTATAGACAATATTTTTATTGTTTAAATATTTTTCTAACAAGCTATCTTATGGAATTACATTTTAAATCAACATTTTATTTATAGAATAAATTTAACATAATCTACAATCAACGATATCGACAAATGAAATGAGAGATAATATCATTCTCTAAATTTATCTGTGATATAACTGGGCAATGGCATAAGGTACAGAAACTTATTGAATACCATAAGACCCACAGAAAATGCGAATGAGATGCCCAAATTGAATTCTAAATTAAAATCGCCAGTATTGTAAATATCTCCAACGAAATTCTTCGAAGTGAATCGTTCGGCCAAGAATGCTTTGCCGTTCCCATATCGGCAGTTCGAGTTTGAATTTGTATTTAGACTGGACGATGTTTGTATGAGATTGGTGATAGAGGTGCAGTTCTCGGTGTCCGTGTATGGGAGAATGTTGAAAATGGGTTGTTTGAACACATTCCGGTGCAGGAATATCGATGCGTAGCGTGTATGTGTTATGTAAGTGATATAATATAGCCATTCTTCGAAGCCTTTGTAGGATCTGAAATAAAATAATAAAAAATAAGATCATGTAATTAGGTGTTCATTTTGTTTCTACACATATTGTTAAATTTTATAATCTGTATCATTCTTTGAAAGGAACAATAGTTTTCATTTATTAAATAATTATATGGTTTTTAAATTCCATAATAACACAACAATGATTTTATTTACATAGGTATGTAATATTGTTCTTATTTGTCTTTGGCTCGGGCAAAAAGATTTGCTATCGGATTATTACTAAGTATGTACAAATGTTTGGTTTATATTTTATCTTTACCTAATACATATACATAAAGCTTGCTTCGAATTTTTTAAACCTATTATAACCCATGTTATTTGCTAATAATGTAGCTATCTATAGCTTGAAAGAAAGAATTTGGTGCTTCAAATCATCAAAATGTCCTGTGAACCCTATTTTCTTGATGAAGAATAAATGGAAGACCTCATCATAGGTAAAAGAATTTTTAAAATCGATTAAGTATATAAAGAAGAAAATAAATCTTTTCTCTTCATAAAATTAATAATGTAATCATCAATAAATACTTATCTTTCTATTTAAGTAAATGGAATGGGCTAACTGACCTGCTTTTATCTTTACCTATCAACCGTGGTGCCACCAACGTATACCGATAGCGCAGGCGATAGGTGAGGATGTAAAGGCAGATCAGTTAGCCTATCGTGACGAATTCAACGATAAATTAGTCACAATAGTTTCCAAGGAAAACCGCGTGGAGGTCGACCTGATAGCGTATATAGATATCAATAGACACTAATCTCCCCATTACTAACAATCCCTTCCTGGAGGGGAAGGGATGATTAGCAGGTAGGGTTATGATTCCATTATCAGCCATTAAAAAAACATTAGTAGAGTATTTTTTCTAGTTTTACAACTTACCTCAAGACACCGCTGGCAAGCATAACATAGATGCAAGTTATATAAATGTTGACAATGGCGGCGATAAGTCCATTCTTCACAAACATCATGATGGCAATGGATTGCTGTTCTGCATACACATAGCATGACCATAACGCGAGCGCGAAGTACACATAATCCAAACTTTCAGAAATATCCCCAATTATCCTGAAATATTTGTTTTGTCATAAGAATTTTCCAAGAGCCTACAGCATGGGCTTCTTCAAAATGGAGGTAAAGAGGTTTCTTCAGGGTCGGCAACGCACGCGTAATACCTCTGGTATTGCAGGTGTTCATAGGCTACGGTAACCACTTACAATCAGGTGGGCCGTATGCTTGTTTGCCACTTCAGTGGTATAAAAAGAATTATATTTATATTAAAATATTAGGGATTTTTATAATGTATTGTAAATAAAAATAATTGCTTCGGGTTGTAGGTATTGTGGATAACTTAAAGAAACTAAGATATAATGCATTCTACATTAATAAATTAATTTTACTTTTTGCCTTCAGAATAGAATATCTTAAACACTGAATTACGAACATTTTTTTATTATTATAAACCGTGTGGTCCCGGCATAGAATAGGTCATCTCTTCTTTTTCCGTGAGCGACGAAAGAGGCGACTAAGGAAGGCGAGGGATGGGCAGCAGCGTCCCTCTTAAAACATCTCTAAAGTCGTACTGCGATTGCCAATCCGCCTGCTAAGCGTGACAACAACTGATAACCCCCCCCCCCCACGAAAAAGGCTTAAGTTGTCCATTTTTAGTTTATAGATATAAATCTAAAAATAAGTAACTAAAACTTTATGAATACTATAACTACATAAATATATGTTTATAGTAAAGCATTTAACTTACGAATAAATTATAGCAGCGGAAGCAAACGTGCTTATGAAAGAGAAGGGTAAAGATACTAAATTCCAGGAGAGCAATAAACTGGCACCACTGTATAGACCTTCCTGTGATTCTTGATAGTAACGCGTTCGGTATGGCCCATCTAAAAATATTACATGACTAGTTAGCTTAGTCTTGAAACTCCCTAACTCTACACACTAACACAGGCATATTTGCAATATTTTTACCCAAAGAAGAGGGTTTAAACAAGAAGTCTCTCTTTTAAAAACAATATAATTTCATTTTCTCATAATAACGATATAACTTTATGGATATATGTAGATGAAGTAATAAATTTATGTGTTCATGAAGTAAGGACAATTTGAACACGAAGAAAGACGATTGTATCATTTTCTGGCAATCAGTTATACTTAGTTATAACTAATTTAAACTATTAATTATTTTATATAGAAAAATATCTAATAAGCAAGTATAATTCACTATAATTTTGTCTAAGTTGTTTGCAAACAGTAATATTAATTAATAGTTTTTTAACACTATACTTACATAAACATATCGTATTCAATATACTAATGAAGTAGGTTCCTACCATAGCATTGAATATAAGTCCGCTCTTGGTTATGAAAGCTCTTTGATAGTCCTGTAAATATCACATATAAAATTAAAATTAGTTGAAAGTGACAATTTAAAAAAAAATGATCCATCGAGCCGGATGATTACCTTTGCCTCATTGTAGAAGATCCACAATATTAAAAAGTATATGGGTAGACACAATAGTCTCATAGACATTTGTTTTATACCGTGCTTCTTTAAATTAAATATCGATACAAGCATTCTCCTGAAATATAAATAAAATTCACTATAACAGTCTTCGTCCTACAGGATGGTAGGTATTTTTTTTTATACAACTTAGAATGGCAAACAAGCTGACGGCCCACCTGATGGAAAGTGGTAAATGTCGCCTATAGACATGAGCAGTACCATGGACATAACAGAGTATACTGTTTCGCACATGATACCATTATTATTACATTATAAGGTAAATATCATTTTTCTCAGCTACGTCGTCAAAACGAATTTTCCATCTTAGCACGCTATACTATCAAATTAGTGTAAATTCTTTGTCTCGTTCCTACAGTGAATTACGCCAATGAAGTAGCTACAGTAATTTTTTCAATAGGTTCAAAATAGAATAGTAACCCGCCTTCCCTAATAATATACATTTGTCGGGGTATCAGTAAATGATAACAGGTGAGAATGAGGTCAGGTCAATTGGCTAATCTCTAGGAACTAACCACGATGATTTCCAGTTTGACACAGTTCTACCTGGAAACCAGCATGATTAAAACTCAACTGTTCTAGAAGTGAAGCTATACTTACACATATAACATCCATATTACTTTGAACCCACTCGGTTTACCATAATTCAACTGAATCTTGTTCGGGTTTACAATACGACTGTGCTCGTTCAGGTTGCCTTGCATAATACCTTGCCCTTCCAGCTTGAATTTCTCAACTAAAGCCGCGATCTGATGATTTGATTCTATGAAACGCTCTCGGGACCGTCTATCTACTGTTGATAGACACACTGCAAATAAAAAAATAAAATAGAAGTGAATATAGAAGTGATACGATAGTTAAGAAAGTTCGGTTTGAAGGGTGGGATATGGCGTGAATTTACTGGGTACAGAGGAATAATTATATGTCTTCTTAACGAATTTTACTTAAATTACAGAATAACTGAAGTGTTATTATTAAGAAACCCTGAGCAATATACATTTTAATATTCTTGCAATTTATCAGGTTAAAATGTACTAGGCAAGAATAAACTGCTGTGGTTTACCCAAGTAAACCGTAGAGGTAGACTTTTTTTCGTTAGGGAATATCATTTCCCTATATATTGAAAGCCAATTTAACTTTTTTATTGGGATGGCAAGTGTAAATAGTGTAAAATAATAGCAAGTGAATTTATAGTTGATTTATTTATGTATTTTAAATATTAATAGTTGTAACACTAGTTGCCCGCTTTCTCATTATTTTGGGTTGACTGGAAGAGATCTCTGTCAGAGATGAGTACACCCTTGCTCACAACATTTATAAATACATTTATTACATGTAATTTACAAGCGCAATAAAGAATATATATAATTAATTTAGTTTTTTTTTCTTTTTAATTTCTGTGAGCAGGTAAACTAAATCTCGCTATAACTTTACGTATAACTTATATATAATACTTACAATAGTACATCAAAGGGTTCTCAAGCTGTGGACACGGGAATCCGATGCTTCCGAAGTAATCCAGCAGGTTGCGAGTGGGGCCTGCGTAGACCACGTCACCCAGGCATAGGTAAACCACTCGGTCCAAAAATGGGAACACATCTGAACAATTTAAAAAGTTCCTTAATTTTTTTTTTATACATTAGTATGACCTTACCCTGATCTTTGAAGTCAAATTAATCAACAGTATTAACAGCTGAAATGATGATGATATTAACTTGATAGCAGGACGTGCCTTGTTAATGAGAAAGCTAGACTTTTTTGCCAATATTATCTTTATATATATATATATATATATATATATATATATATATATATATATATATATATATATATATATATGTATAAATACCGGTTCGTCTTTTGAAACACTGATGTCTCTATAGCTACGCATTTGTGGTTACGTATTATATGTAAAATTCTATTGTTAGTCTCTACACGAGTTAAAAATTTATACAATCCATGCCATTAACTTCACATACAAGTTGCCATTTGTAACCATTTTGACTTCGACCATTCAATATTGTATTGTACTATTAAAATAGTACTGCCAGCAGTCCAGTGACCTATATTCTAATTGTTGGCGTTACCACAACTGTGCAAACGACTTCAAACAATGTCAACTGTAATATTGAACAATACAAGTAATCCATTCTTTTGAAAGCTTCGTTAATTTTTATAGGAAAGAATTAGCATGATAATAGATTTTATAGTTTGTTTTGTGTGAAAGTGGGTGAAATTTTGGTGCTATTGGTGTAGTTGTAGGTACATGAAGTACCTACATGTATGTATATATGTACTACTTTAAATTATTAACTATTTAAAATCGCTCTATATTATTTTATTATTAAAACTTATATATGCAGAAGTAATGCAATATTAGAAAAGAAACTATAAGCAATTTTGATGGTCAAAAAATTTGTTTACTAGTGAAGACCACGAAGTCGCGTTAGTCGCGAATTTGTATGAAATTTTGTGTGTTGTGCAATGCAAATTATTTATTTAAAAATTACTCTTTACAAATTTAGGAGATACTCGAGGTTTTATTGCAAAATTGAAGTATTCGTGTCTAAATTTACATCATAATAATTAAAATGGTGTTCCATATATAAAAAAAACAACTTCGGTTGTAGCAAGACCAGTTATTTAGATTTAAAAACTAAACTACTGAACAGGTTTTGATAAAATTTCAATAAGACTGTAATCTGTAAGTACATTCTTTCAGATAAAAAAAAAAATCCAAATCGGTTTACAACTGACGGCTTTAAAAGTTTATAGTGAACCCTGATTCAAATAATTTCAAATTCAATACTTACTTAATATTATAAATATGAAAACGAGTTTGGTTGTCATACGTGTATACCGTCAAGAGCTGACGGTATACATGTACTACTTAAGATGATAAGGAACATAGCCTACATTTTAATATATAATCAATAAATAAAATCAACAAATATATTCCAGACACGCGGACGAGGCCGGAGGTAAAAATAGTAATTAATAAGTTATTAATAATTTCCAATTATACAAAAATTAAAAATAATTCAACATACCAGATCTTGGTTTCTCCATGGTCAGTATAATTGCAGTGCCGTATTTTTTTGCTGCATTTGACAAGATCGATATCACTAGATACGTATTTAACGGATCTAAATCCCACGTCGGTTCATCTAGTAACAGGATAACTGCAAAAGTAACAAGAATTTAATTGGATAGTAGGTAATTCTCGTAAATAAATCTACGATTTCGTTTAGGGTAATATGGTATATACACGATACACACTGCTTGTATAGGCACATTTAAGAGGATCCAAGTGGGCGGTGCCCAACCAAGTAATATCTGATGCTTTTGCAAGGATATGAGCGGAACTTACAACCATATCTATACAAAAAGGTGTCTAAGATTATGTATAGCATATTACGCTACTTTTAAGAGGTTAGCCCCCATCCCCCCTGAACCTGGAAAGTAATCTTAAATATGCCAATGACTGCTAGAATTGGTTTTCATATTTGTTTTTAACCTAATGTAATTATATATTTAAATAAACTTACTTGGATCTCTGATGAGATGGATCCCTATAATCAGTCTTCGATATTCACTTTTGGTTAAATTTGTGACACATTTGTTGGCTACCTGTGTAAACAGTACATAGATATATATTTGACTATTTTTTATTGATTTAAAGAATCAGCAATTTGGTAGACACATTACCTGTGATAGTGCCAAATCAGCCATAACTTGCTTCACTTTGGACGATTTCAAATATCCTGAAATCTACAACATTTCATAAATATATTTACATATGAGAGTTATTGCAGTACAAAATATATAAAAATCGTATCATTCTGCTGACGAAATTAAACTTAATTTCAAAAAGTATTTTTTTTTTTTTTTACAACACAGGGGGCAAACGAGCATGCGGCTCACCTGATGGTAAGTGACTACCGCCGCCCATGGTCACCCACAACACCTACGGCATTGCAGGTGTGCTGCCGGCCTTTTAAAAAGGAATATGCTCTTTTCTTGAAGGTTATGTTTATTATATATTTCAAAATTTAAAATTAAAGTTTATAATTATATCATCTCTGTTCGTTAAAATTGGAAATCTCTAGATTACACAATAGTACAAGTTTTGCAAGATAACTAACTAAATAGGTACATTAATATATGCCTCGGATTAATTTTATAATACTCTAAAGTGACAAACATGCTGACGACCCACCTGATGGAATGTCCCAACCATCGCCTATAAACATAAATAGCACTCATAAAATACGCTGTGAAATCCATGGTACTTCTAATGCTTTGTCAATCCTGAGGCCTAAAGAGTTAAGCCACCATATAATGTGGAACTTATATATTATTTTAATGGAACTATTAAGTAACCGTCGTGTAGTTTCGGCATAGAATGGGTCACCCCTTCCATTCCTGTGGATGTCGTAAGAGGCGACTAGAAACATAATGGTCAAGGGATGAGCAGCAGCATCACTCTAAAAGATCACTAAAGCCTATCAGCGGTTGCTAATCCGCCTGCCAAGCATGGCAACTACTGTCAAAACTCCTCAATGGAAGGAGATCTATGTATATGATACGATGATGATGCCGATGATGATTAGATAATTACCTTAGTAAGTGATAAGCTAAGAGTCTGTTGTACGCTTAGACCTGGCAGCAAGCGAGTAGAGTGTCGCACCAGAGCGCACGTATTGTTAAAATGCTCATCCTCAAGTGGGACTCCTTCTAGAAGGATGTGCCCCTTGGACGGCACGCGGCGGGCGATCACGTCAAGCAGAGCACGTTTACCGCTTCCTAAAAATGTTAGTTATGTAATTGGAGACAGTTGTATCATCACATTTTATTTTGACACTACTCGTCTTTGACAGGGACAGGGATTCATCATCACAATTTGGAACTTGAATGGTGTGGTACAATACAGTTTCAAATGAGTTTCCAACTACAAAAACCTTAGTATAAATTCCTTATTAGAAAGTTCACCTCAGATCCTATTGTGACTATAGGCACTAGCCTATTACAGTATCATTTAAAGATTGCAAATTGGGTTTTCAAATTGCACGCTGTAAAACGTTGTAGTATTTTTTCAGAATCAATAACGCATACGTTATATCTTTGATGTAGCTGGAATTTGTTCCACTTAATTTATTTATAAAAATTTTATTCATTAATAAAATATGTTACAAAAAGCGGATTTACTGCTAAAGGCATTCTTTACCAGAATACCTTTAGGATGTGCAGAGATACTTGACAATGAAAATAATAAGTAATAATAATTGCTAAAAGAAAATATTTATGTTCACTGATTAAAATGTAGACATCTGCTAAAAAAAAGCTCCCAAAAATATCTATGGAATTTTTTTTATACAACTTAGAATGGCAAACAAGCTGACGGCCAACCTGATGGAAAGTGGTAACCGTCGCCTATAGACATGAACAGTACCATGGACATAACAGAGTATACTGTTCCGCCCATGATATTCCCCATGCGTTGCCATTTTTGAGGACTCAGGTGTTATTCCTCTGTACCCAGTAAATTTACGCCATATCCCACCCTTCAAACCGAAACACACGAATTTGCTGTGTAATCTCGGCATACAAAGGGCCTTCCCTACCCGTGGGTGTCGTAAGAGGTGACTAAAGGAACTTAATGGTCGACGGGATAGGATGAGCAGCAGTGTCTCTCTTTAAACATCACCAAAGCCTAACAATGGTTGCCAACTTGCTTATCAAGTATCATAACAACTGGCAAAACTGTTCTCTAGAGGGGAGGCCTATGTTCAGCAGTGAGAAGTTAACGGCTGATATGATGATGACGATGATTCCTGGATTATGTGCAAGTATGTCAAAGTATTTGCAAGGCAATACAGTTACTTCTGTAACTATTTACCCACAGCAATTTTCAATACTTCCCTCTGCATAATTACTTTTCTGTTTTTTCCAAGTTAGACCTGAGCCTCTAGACAAGTGGCAAGTAAATGCTGTATAGCATTAAGTCCACCTTTTGTATTAAATATTTTTTTATAATGTGATCAATAAAGAATAAATAAATACATAAAATTGTGTAAAATATAATATGTAGTCGTAATGCTAGTATACAATCGAGAACATACCTTTAGATCCCAGTATAGCGGTGACCTCCCCGCTGTGTGTGGTGAACGAAACATCCTTCAAAATAACACCGGTCTTCACGGCGCCGGTCAACCGCTGAAGGAAACTGCCCGGCTCCACCTATTGATACAAGCCTATAGTTAATCTACCTTATTTATAAAAACTAAAACCTCATTCACATTCACACAAAAATTAGGAATTTAGCGTAAAATAAGAATACAAAATATCTCGTTATCTTTGTCGTTAACTAAAATAGGTTTGAAAAGTTTGACGTTTTTATAAATAAATAGGAATGTCTTTACATTAGATCTTTACATTATTAATTAATTATATATATATATATATATATATATATATATATATATATATATATATATATATATATATATATATATATACATTAGTCATCAATATCATATCAGCCTTTTCACTGTCCACTGCTGAACACAATCTTGGGGGGTTTTCACAGAAGTTGCCATGCTTGACAGGCGGATTGGCAACCGCAGTTAGGCTTTGGAGATGTTTTAAGAGGGACGCCTAATCGCCTTTGTTTTTTAGATCTCAGTGATCTTGGAATTTTAATGGCTTAATCAATCATAATTAAAATTTACATAAATAAATCGACTTTTTTTTGTTGGTGAAAAATATAGACAATTTTTTATCTCGGTCAATCTTTTATCATAGTCAGTAGTCAGTCGAGTTGAGTTATATATATATATATATATATATATATATATATATATATATATATATATATATATATATATATATATATCTCCTGTATATTAATGTCGTTACGTTATTAAAATAACCTCATTATTACGCACACAAATTGTAAATTAAGAAGTCAAATGACTTTTCGGGAACATCTTCCTTACAAAAGATATCAACGAGCTAACTTTAAGTTCGTACTCAGCTAGTATTTTTCAGTAGAAAACTTTTAATAGCATCTACTTATGCAAGATTTTCTTTTTAACACTATGTATTATTATTTTGTTAAACGTATTTTATATTATTGTTTATATTAATACTTAACTACTTATATTAAAAATGAAAATAAGTGAGTTAATTAAAATAATATTCATATTTTGTTGCAGACTTTTGGTTTGTGTATGTTGTATTACCTGAAGGTAGGGCAAACAATGAATAAGTATTCTAGGAGTATTTACCTGTCCCGAGTGAAACACATTGCACAATTCCAATGTATAATCGCTGCCGATCATGTTTCTTGCTTTCTGTGTTCAATTTTAATATGCAAATTAATAGTTATATACGTAAATAAAATACATTTCCCAGTAACACATCCACTCTCTACTTGCACAAACTCACACTAACATAGCTATTAACTTCAAACTTCACACTATATTAGCAACGTTGCCACATTTACTTACAGCTGACTTCATGTTGTTAACTGTACTTAATTTTCAAAACAAAAGGTAGTGAAGCAAATTTGGGCACTATGCGTTATGCAAAAGGTTCACAATTGTATTGATGATAAATGAGATGCGTATTAAAGAGAAGTTATTCAAACGGCTTGTGTCGAAATATTTTTTATTTATTTATTCATTAAAATTTTCATATCTCTCATAATTAGAAAGAGTATGGTTCCGGCATAGAATAGGCCACCCCTTTTTTTTCTCCTGTTTGTCGTAAGAGGCAGTTGAAAGCACTTAATGGTAGAGGGGCAGGCAGTGGTGTCCCTCTTAAAATATCTCTTAAAAAATAACTGCGGTTACCAATCTGCCTGCCAAGCATGGCCACTACTGGCAAAACTCCCCTTATGGGGAAGGCTTATGTTCAGCAGTGGATAGTTAATGCCTGAAAAAAATTAAATTAAAAAAAAGATATCTTTAGATTTACCGAATTTAAATGGAATATGAAAGGATTTAATAAATTAATGTAATTTTTTTACCTCCGGAGTAATGTTGGCATGTTAATTCGAATCACTATAAGGAATGAATGACTTAAATTGATTTAGGTCTCGGTAACCTAGATTAAGTCTCCAGATAATTGTTGTTTAGTTTCTCGTAATATAATATAGGTTAAAAGAAAGCCTAAGCTAAGGCTGTACGCATTTATAAAAAAATCTATTTCATTTATATTATTGGGGCTAACGTGCAATTAATTAAGTCAGCATAATGTGGACCGCAGATTAGATGCAGTCTTTTTTATATCACTGAGGTGGCAAACAAGCATACGACCTACCTGATATCAAGCAATTACCGTAGCTTATGAACACCTGCAATTACGGGCGTATTGTCGACTCTGAATAAACTTCTTATCCCCTTTTTTGTAGAACCTCATTCTGTAGCCTTTTGGAAAAACCTTGATAGGAAGCTCATTCTATAACTTGATCTTGCATATTTGATCTATGGCTTACACGGATGGATTTCATAATCACTTACCATCAGAAGGTTATGGAGTCAATGTGTCGTGCCAATATAGAAAAAAAAAAGTACAAGTAAGTTGAACTAAATACTTTGTGGTCATAATTATTGCGTAATATGCAATACAATGGCTGATATGATGATGATGGTGACGCGATATATTTGCATGATTAACTACTCTAATAATGGATAATGTTAAGACAAACAAAATAAAATATAACTGTTTGCCGGTTTTTAGAAATTATAATAAAAAAATGCTGTACGCAACATAGCTTCCCCTTAATAATGAAAGCCTTATTTTTCCACATTTTCTACGCACTGTTGCCACATATATTCACCGTGAACCTTCCAAAGGCTAAACATTGTTAGTGTCTCTTTCACACATGTTACTAAATTTGCTTTTAGGATGAGACGCCTGCACATCTAGTAATCGTTGTAATCGTAAATTCCAATGATTAGTCATCTCGTTCTCACAAGTACAATTGGTTGGTTGTAGAAAGAGAAAGGAGAACATGCGCAGTGTCACTGACTGACTATTCACTCGGGCTCCGTATGGTCGTTTGAGGTAAACTGGTGCGTTCCAGCAGTGTGGCGACTTGCCCCACAGTTTGAGAACGATAATATTGATTAAAAACGAACGAAAATACACGATTTTTTAACTGAACTGTATGAAAAACTCGAACTCGACTAATTTTTATGTGTTTTTAGTGAGAAAATTGAGTCGTTTCAGTGATCAGTGTTGAGTGTACAGATATAATAGTGAGTGCCACACGGAGTCCCGTTGGCCGGTCTTTTATCAAGTAAGTTGATACTGGATATATATTTGTATTTGTGTAGGTGGTTTAGAAATGTGAAATAGAATATTTGATAGATATATTTTAATAGGTTTATTAATTTTTACGTAGTTATATTTATCACATTATGTAGTTAAAAATAATAGACGATTTAAAAAATACGGCTCGGTTTAGAATTCCAAATAGCTACAGCTACCTACCTGGCGAGCTGATAATTCCAGTATTCATGAGACCTAAACCTAGTTTAGTAAACTGGTTATGGGACAAACTAATTTTCCAGTTAAAATTGTTAATAATGTTATGAATGTAATTATGTTTAACAGATCGTGACTACATCTCTTGTAAACTGTAACATTACCGTTTCTTATCAATTTGAATCAAATTATGTACCCGCATACAATTTATGGTTATATTGTTGTATTCGATTTTTATTTCTTTTTAATAATTATATTCTATATTTGATAATTTAAAATAAGATTGACAAATGATGCCTTCTGATAGGGTAGAAAGCTGGATGTAGATTTGAGTCCTGATGATGAATGATAATGGAATGGTAACCCCGCCTGTGCTTACGGTATACGTTCGCAGGACATTAGTAAGGGATGATAGGTGAGAATGAAAAAGCAAGTTAGCCCATCGTAATGAATAAATTTTGAATTCAGTATGATGGTTTTCAGTGTGGACCACGCGGAGGTAGACCTGACAGACCTGGTAGACAGTTCCATTATTAGCAATACACCCTGTATTGCTAATAATGGAACTGTCGGCATTACTATAAACCCCTTCCCTCTTTCATTTGAGTCCTGTTAAGAGGTTTATTTTTATTTATTTATTTAATTCTTTATTTCACCAAAAACAAAAATAAACAATGACATATAAACAATTCAACTGAATTACAGTAGCATGAAGTACAGATTAAAATATACATAAAAAAGGTACAAAAGCCTGTCTTATTGTTAGGGCAATCTTCTACAGACAACCTTTGGTTAAAGGAGAATATATAGAAGTGGGTAAGTGGTACAAGAGTGAAGAGTGAGCTTCCAAAATATCATGAAGATAGTTTTTCAAGTCCTAAAATGTCAAGATCCAATAAAGAATATTGATAACATCCAGGAAAACTTTTTTTTTAATTACATAAGTATTCAATAATTTGTAATAATGTTACTAAGAGATTTGTGTGATATCAAATTGCGAGATACGAAGGTAAACCCAAAAATTTCTGGTTCAAGCAGTGTTTTATATCCTATGAGTTTTTATTGCAATTTACCTATTTAAGGTATTTATTTTTAAATTACCTTTCATTATTTCATATTTGATCCTAAAACGACTTATACTTGCAATTCATCTAAGTGATAATTTTATATGAGAATCTATAAAATAGGTTTGTATAAATTGCTTATTGACAAATTATAGTAGGGTTCAGTTAACTGTTTTGGTCTCAAATCTTCAAAAAAGTGCCCAGAAAGCATTTTACAAAATGTATTATTTTGTACTTCGGGAACATTAGCTTTTTTGGGGAGTGGAAGTTGAAAGTACAGTTGAAGAAAAGTTCACCAAAGTTAGACAGGGGCTGTACTTACTGAAAATTATCCTTATGAACTTTTTTGCTAGAATCAAATAAATATATAATAACAATGTGTAAAAAGCTATGTTCTGTAAAGAAATTGTGCGACAGTTTGCCGATTTCTGGTCTCGTCGTGCCGAAAGTCACGTAACCTAGTTATCTTTGGATACATATATGGATATATCAACTGTTTAAATTGTGATGGAAATTGAGTTATATATTTGTAGGTTGTGGTTTTAAGTCACAAATTAACACTTTCGAACTTTATCGACTTTAGAAAATTCAAGAAAAAGTCGTAATTTTTTCAATCAGAATACCCAGGTTCCGGCTATTAAAAAAAAACGCGTTCCCTAAATTAGACCAACCGAGAACGGAATTTATCCACACATAGAAACGTTGTACCACTCCGCTACAACGGCGCTGCAATTTATCACATGAAAACTCGACTTGTTTAGAAACTGGTAGCCTTAATCTCTAATTCTTGTTACAATATTTATGTGTCTATCTAAAAAGAAGCAATAAATTATGATGTTAACGTCTCGTTGGAGACCATAACATTGAAATATAGGCAACAAATTATAAAAATTTAAAACACTGTTAATTAACAGTTAATTAATAATTCATAAATATAAAACAAGACTAAAGAAAATGTCAATTATCGATAGTGAAACTGGATGCATGTCGATACTTTCTTTATTGAATAAGTCTACCTATAATAAACTTTGTTTGCTTTCGATTTATTATATACCATACTATATTACCGTATGTGTCCCGGCATATAATGGACCGCCCCTACCTTTCCCGTGGGTGTCGTAGGAAGCGACTAAGGACGACTGAGGACGAGAGTTGGGCAGCAGCGTCCCTCTTAAAACATCTCTAAAAGCATAACTGCAGTTGCCAATCAGACCGCAAAGCGTGGCAACTATTAGCAAAACTCCCCTTATGAGGAAGGCTCACGTCCAGCAGTGGACAGTTAACGGCTGAAATAATAAAAAAATTACTATATCAGCTGTTAATTAGCCGCTGCTGAATACAGGCCTCCTTCTATTGGTGGCAATCGTAGTTAGGCTTTGTTGATATTTCAAGAAGGATGCAGCAGCTTATCCCTTGACCATTAAGTTCCTTTAATTGCCTCTTACGACACTCACGGGAAAGAGAGCGGTGGCCCATTCTATGTACAAGGCATTTATTATATGTATACTTATATTATGTCTTTATTTATTCCACGTGACTTTGTCTACTAATATTTATTTGGATAGGATAATGTAGTCTCCTAATAGGCGAGTGTATGGAACATCGCAAACACTACGTTAATACCTACTAAGTTTCATGACGATTGTACGTTACATTACATAATGGAAACAATTTTATTTTTATATTTAGAATATTAATAAGAATAGAACAAAAATAAGAACATCATTAATAAGTAATCCATTTAAAAACTCATTGAATGTAAGTAGTTACTTAATTTAATATTAAACTACTTTAAGAATAACAGTTACTTCCAAGAAAACATTCTGTTGAAATTTCTAAAACATTAAAGTTTAAAAATGTTCGAAACAATGAATGTAAACGAACTCTAGGTCCGGCTCCTGATGAGTCAGCCTGCGAAGCCAGCGACCGATCAATGCGATGCCAAATCGCCGACCATGCCGTGACCTTTGAGAGAAATCCCACCCTGGTACTGTGACTCATATAACGATTTGCTACCAAGCAATTCAAATAAATAACTCGCGCTGGAATGTGGAATATACTGTACTAGGTATCCGCTCTGATTTTGCACGGGTTTGAGAATAAAAATAATAATCTAATGTATTATTTTTTAAAGTCGGTTAAGATTATTTGAATCATCCATTATTAACAATAACTCAAATTTTTCCTCTTTATAATATTAATTGAAACAATGCTAATTTATAGTTATTTTTGCGATTTACTAAATAGAAAAAATCTTCATCTGATAAGTATTTATTTCAGGTTGTCATATAAACTGTTTACTATCTATTGCTAAATATAGGTCTTCTCCATAAGGGGGGTTTTGCCAATAGTCGCTTGGCAGGGGGGTTGACAACGTAGTTAGATTTTTAGTAATGTTTTAAGGGGAATGCTGCTGCTCATCCCTCGACCATTAAATTCTATCTATTTCATATACTTGCTTTGTAATATTTATTATTCCTATTGTTCCAATAACAAGTTACGGGAAATATAGATATACGAGTAATATTCTTCAGGAAGAATTAGAATTGAAGAATTTATTATCTTTTTTTAATTTAAGAGTTTCCTTCTGTCTTGCAACTAATTCATGCATCTTCTTCCAGCCAGCTCTATCCCAGGCCATATCCTTGATCTCCCTATACGACATGATACCTAGTGTTTCTTTTATCTGTCCCATGTAGTTATTCCTCGGTCTTCCTTTTCCTCTTTTGCCCTCTATTTTTCCTTCTACTATGCTCTTAAAAAATCGTCATGTCGTAGAAGGTGGCCCAGCATTTTGCCTATTATAATTATTATTATAATTATAACTATTATTATAATTTGAGAAAAATCAATAATAAAAACAATTTGATTCATCAATAACTGTATCGGTAAAAATTATGTTGCAGTCATTTGGGCCCATCTCGGCAACGAAATTATACATATTGTACAAATAGGAATATAGAAATGACAACGTATGAGATATGACATGAGTATTATAGCATATTTTGTGGGGCTCACAGTCCTGTTTTTTTATCTATAGGCGACGGTTACACTTCTATCAGTGTCCGGCAGTTGTTTTTTGCTATTTACAGTCATCTACTTGTAAATGAAAACAAAGATTTATGTCTAACCTATTTCTTTTTGGGTAATCTTTGTAATTATTTTGTAACTGGCCTCCGATATATAATTCCCCATTCTATACAGTCCCATTTGTTACCACAGACATCTTATTTTTAATATCATTGTTTTGTATATAGCCAAATACCCATTCTATATGTTTTTTAATTTAAAAATTAATAAAATTAATTTTTCTAGGTAGAATCCAGATTAACTTAATTTAAATTAAATTCATTTAAAACAGAAAAAGCTTATTTATTTCTATTAACTTGGGAAATCACCAAATTTTTTGTTATCCGTTTTGTCTTTGACCTTGAAGAGGAAACAGATAATTAGTGTCAATTTAAATTCAGACATTTTTGTTCTACTAACTTATTCTACGGTCTGTTTACACCATCGCGGGTCTTGATTATAAAACCTAATTAAATGTGATTGACCTCAGTACACGGCGTTTATTATAACTGCCTGTTGTATTTTTGAGCTGTGTTTAATTAAAATAGGTATTATGTTGTGAAAATAAAAAGAAATATATATTCACAACGATAATTCCAGATAGGGAGGCATTTACCGGCTGTTGCCGTTGTGGTGAACGTAACAATCGACGTATCCTTCCACATGACTACAAATATAT